TCACAATGCAACTTTACCAATTCCAAAATGACTCACTGAAAGCATTGCCCCACAGAAATAGCACTAATAGGCAAATCCACGCAAAAAGAGAATTAATCTGCTAGAATTTTTGTTTTTGTTTTTCAGCTAAGTTAGATGATAAAACCAAAGGTGTCTCCTTGATGTAAAACCTTTCGAGTCTCACACCTCTCGTGGATATTATATAGAATCCATCTCATCTTAGTGCAGCAATCACAACAGCGAGACTTAAGAGGAAATGAAGCCGCACAGGATGCACGCAGCTAGTTCAGCTGGAGGCCAAACACTCTGCCCACCCACACATAACCCGTAATGTCACAGATGGCAGGGGCCACAGTGGGGGCAGAATGATTTCACTTGGGTACATAATTCCGTTTGCTTTATATCTTTGGGAACCCATGTCTTCTGGTGACCCATGACAACTGAGCAGTCACCGCTGTTTGATTCCCTTTGAATATAGCAATCTTTTCACACCGCCTAATGTTCAATACTTAATTTGCCGCCCCACTGCTTCTTACTGTTGCCCTGAGGGGACCAATCATGTGACCCTGCACCCAGTTTACTTTCCATTTACAGAAGCCATTTTGAGAGAGGACGCCAAGAGGTTTGTAGGTTTTGAACCATATGCAGCATTTAATTATAAATCTAATCGAAAATATAAGTTGCCACTTTATCTCACACAGATTGCCTACCAGCAGGCAGCTGTGTGAACTGCTACAGAGGTTGTCAGCGCCGGTGGGAGACAAACTTGGCCGTGTGGCGGACGATTGTTAATTAATTGCTGGTCAGGACACTTGTTGTTGTTCAAACAGCGAGTTTAGATCTCTCTCCTTAGGTTGTTTTCTCTTGGAGCTGACTTGAGTGTTAATAAGGCCTCGATAAACACCACCCCCCTCCGGTGGAGTTGGCTTACCTGCAGGCTGGGGTTTCCCATCCCGAGAGAAGATACCACACTGAGCGGTCATCAAACACACAACATTGAGCAGCAGCACTTCTGAGTCGTATATCCTATTTGATAGGTAAAGGGTAATTAAATGATGGGGACTCCCTTATAGACATGTTGGAGTATTTCTAAGTGAGTAAAAAATGATACTATGATGATGTATAATGAGATCTTAAACTATAGTGTATTTAACTTCACTGTTTCTTTTTTTTTTTTTGGTGTTGATAGAAAAATGTGACTTGACTTTGTATGAGCAAGTTGTCCTAATACTTCCTTTTCAGTTGATAATATCTCCCTTCATTTTCATACTTGTCCTTTCTAGTAGGGATTCGGAGACACATTGGAGGTTTACTCGCCACCCGTGATTTTCAAAACAATGCTATGCCAATGGGAAAGGTTGTCTATATCCAGTTGACTTGCTGAGAGAAGATAAAAGTGCTTGATCCCTGTCCCACTTAGAGCGGTGTATTAAGCGATAAGAGCCGGCTCAGGCTCAAGGCAGTGCTGTCTGGGCTGTGCAGCCAAGTCTGTTTTTTTTTGCCTTTTTCATGAACTAATGACCCAAACTGTAATGAGCGGATCCACACTTTGAGAAGTGGAGATCAAGAATGCATTTCTCAATAACCAAAGTCGAATGTGAAATGGATACTGTATAATCAGCATTACCTTGCATTTGTTCTGGGAGGGTTTCCTAAGCATTTAGTGCTACTCTTCCATCAATACCCAACTCCAGTCAAACTGTTATATACAACAACTACAGCAACTGGTGCTTATATCTCCTTTGAAGAAACTACATGTGGTCAAGAGCTTTTCAGTGAGGGAAGTTGTATCAGTTTTCTCCATAATATCGGGATGAACACACAGGTGATTTAGAATCCCAACCTTCCTAGCTGGCATCTTAACTATTCAGAAATGGATATGGATTCCTTTGGTTATCAACTGCCAGGCCGAATGGCTCACAGAACACCAATGATATATGAAATTATGTTTTTTTTGTTATAAAACAAGCAAATAAATAAAATGAACAAACAGTTGATGGATTGCTTAGAAAGGTGCAGATTCATCTCCTTTCTGAAAACATCTTATAGACCTTTAATTGTTACTATTCACTTTATTTTTACTTAACGTCAATAGTGGCAGTGTGTGTCTTTTTTGTCAAGTACATTTTCTGCTAACAGCAAAATAATGTACAAATAGTCATGATTACAGAAGGTTCATTCAGTGCAATCAGAAGCTGAGACGTACAATACAGAGAAAAATGTATTGTGTTTGTACAAGGGCCATGTAATGCTCTGCAACAGAGAGCCCACAGTTTATTCCAGAATAGTTGAAAGATTAAATGCATATGAAATGCACTTCATTGTATTATGAAACAACATTATTAGTAGATGTAAAGAAATGCGGCTCCCAGAAGATATTGTCTACATTTGCTTCATTATCCATCTGTCTTACATTTATTTCTTTGTAATCTTCAGTTTTAGAAAGCTTTTGTGTACTGTCATCTCCAATCTAGCAATTCTTTTTCATTCAATTGAATTATTTTAGTTAGTTGTTAAGCAACCCTGCTTTTGTTCTTTGTGAAACGTTGGTAGATATGCAAGACTGCACTGAATTATAATGCTGATTCACTTCCAGCTCAACTATGCGAGGAATCATCAAACTTTACCCTCAGCATCTCTGGTCGGAAGTAGTATGATACTTTCTAGTTTCATGGTTTAGATATGTACATGTACATATGTACATGTCAGTGTGACGAATAATATATAACTTTTCATTTGACCTGCTTGTATGCCATGTCTGTTCCCTGTATTTTGACATCCGCATTTGTTTGATTCTGGTTTAAACTAAAAGTGGTTTATGTTGCAAGTTCTTTCCTGATGTGGGTAGAAAATGCTGACCGTGAAACGGGACTAATGGATGTCATAAAGCGTGAATCTGTGTCCTCCCTGTCCGTGCTCACTGTCGTCCTCAGAGCAGAGGAGCTAAAATGCTTGAGAATATATCCATGACTGGTAATTTAATTAGTCCGCCTTTGCCTGATGTGAGGGACAAACAGGAGGAAATGTCTTTGATGTCAACCCTTAAAACGTCAGACTGTCTTCAGCCGTGTGTAATGTGGGTTTTCCTGTAATACTCAACAACCCACTCATCTCTAAATATGTGATTGATGGCCAATATTTCTTAGTGGTTTCTCAAGAGCTAATAATCCTAATGTCAGTGTTCTCATTTCATAGCTCATTAGTAACACTAGCTACACAAGCTATTTTAACATAACTTGTTCCAAGATGTATAAACTAGTCCAGCACCCCTGAATAATATACGCTTATCTCTCCTGCTGTCAGCCTCAATTTGAATAATTTATAATGCAGCAATAAATAGAAGCAGGATCTCTGGCACCAACCTGGAGAGTTTGCACTTGAGAAGGAGGAGATTCTTCTTTTTCCCCATGACTGAAATAAAATCAAGAGCAGAAGTCATTTTATGTTAGACTTGTCATCTGTCACTGCTTTCTGAATTGAGGTCTCGCTCTATCACTCAGTGCTCTGTTGGCAGGCTGCTTTCAGCTGCACTTGTCACACAGTGATTTCTGGAACCGATAAGGGCTGTGATTGAACATTTGTTTGGCCTCTGGAAAAACCACAGGTGGATGGCTTGTAGTTGCTCTCTTTCGGTCTTGGTGCGGTTCAACGCCTCAGCAGGTCAGGCGCTGTTTGATCAAGCACAGAAATCAGACTAAACAAAGATGTTAGGAGGGATTTAAGGCTGAGAGTTACCTCTTGTTCATTCGGTATCTAATCTCAAGTCGTTCTCTGAGGCGTCCGGTGCATGGTTATTTTCTGCTTCCTCTGAAGTCACAAGTTATATGATTAGTCTCTGCCTTTCTTAAATGAGAATTTTAGGCAAATAGAGAATACGCTGAAAAACCACAGAGCTCATAACTTGGATCAGTTGTTAATTCAATCTTATTTTGTACTTTTAAAGTGAAAAATTACATTTTTACTGCACTGTGAATAATTGTGCCAAGCCTCATGTTCTGTTGTTTAGGTGAGTGTTGCGGATAGCTGCAGATGAGGGTAATGTGTTGGAATGACTGCCCTGGCCCAGCTGAAGGACTTTGATGCTGCTTTTGTTGTTTGGAACTTTTTATTTTTCTTTTTTTCTTTTAAAGAAATTCTGATAGAGTTCTTTGCTTGACTAACAGGAGCGTCCTTACCTCACAGAAATGGGTGAAGGTGTGAAAGTAAACTAAAAATAAATGTTTCAACGGGGGATCAAAGCCGTGCGTATTTGTTGAATGTCTAGGATTTGTGGCATTCTGCAGCCCTACTCTCCTGGACACTTAAGCGTTGTGTGCCCACTATGACAAAGCCACTCCATAAATTTCAATGGCCTATAAATTACATGCCACCACCTTGTAATTAAGTCTTAAAGAGATTACTCTCACCTCAGAGACATCTCTGAGATCAGGTTGCACTGTGCTGATTGCCTCTTATTTCTTTTGAATCCATTCCGCTCGAGGGAGATGAAAAATGTGGCGACAGAAAATTCATCCTGCCAAAAAACAAACAAACAAACAAGTCTCTATTTTATGTTCCATTCAACACAATGAGTTCAGGAATTGTTTAGTTCTCCATCTATATATTCACCATGGCTTGTTGAAGTCCGGATGGTGGAAGTGCTCATAAGTGCACTTGGCACCAAGGAACACTCCATTATTGATTTAGTAACAGATCTGTGGTCATATGTTTTCAACACACGGGTGAACAGAGGAGCTTAGTTGTCAGCTGATCATTTCCTGATTTTTAATGTCTCAATCGGCAGGACAGTTTATGCTACGCTTGGTGCGAAGGTTCGACGGCTTCTTTCTCAAGTATAAACATTCAGAACTGTGTTGAGCTACAAATTTACACTGTCAATACGGACCAGTAAAGTTTTACATTCTTCACGCAGATGTAGGAGAAAACATACTCTTTTAAAAGCCAGTCTGTGAAGGTTTAATGGGCTCATCAAATGATCGTGTTTAACTGTCGTTCCTCAGGGACCGTGTGTGCAGCCTAAATGTCGAACTGGAACCTGTTGAAGCATCAGACAACGCCAATGGTTGCTGCCAAGCCAACGGGGGCCAGTGACTTGACTGTTACTCCAGCTCCAGTCGCATTAGTCTCCAATGAGAACACCACGGAACCCGTCGACAAGAACGATGCCTTCGACGAGATCAAAAACAAGTTCCTGAACGAAATCGACAAGATCCCACGTGAGTGCCAAACAAAATCCCAACCTGCTCCAATCGAACATCCCCAAACAACTCTTATTGATGTGAATCTGAACAAGGATTTTGAAATTAGATTTACTCTTTTGCTTCAGGCATTGGTAGCCCCATAATGTATTTATTCATTATTGATCACTGGCTGGTCTTCCTAATGGCAGAGAAATCTAATTTACATCCAGTCTAATTGCTAATCTACCACCTCTCACTAAATACATTTGGCCCAGGACATGACATGAAGCAGACTAAATGACTGGTTGGTCAAATGTCAGAGTATTTGTTTCTCACAGGCTCTTTTTTTCCTCTTTTTAAATTTTTTTATTTTTCTGGCTGTGCCACCTACAAACTTGTTTGTGTGATCCTCTCAGTGCCATCCTGGGCCATCATTGCCATTGCCGTGGTCGCTGCTTTACTCATTCTAACCTGCTGCTTCTGCATCATCAAGAAATGCTGCTGCAAGAAGAAGAAGAACAAGAAGGGCAAGAAGGGGAAGGGTGACATGGGAATGAAGAACCTGAAAGGGGGAGAGGTATGTTCTACTGTGGGGGTTCATGTCACAGCTGAGGAAACATATTAGTCTGAGGAGTACAAGAGACAAAAGATTACATAACTGAGTTTTTCATGATCCTGTTACAAAACATTTGTGGGCGTTAATCTGAGGCATTGCGGTGGTATATAGATATGTATTTCCTGCCATAAATTTGAGTCAGCTAATGTATTTCATATTGAAAAGTAACATTTGAACATTCACTTCAAGTTTGAAATGTTGGATTATTCATTAGACTGCAAGTCAGGCTGTTATGGTTTTTTATGTTTTGCAACCCAGTCAGGAATTCTTTCCACAGGTCTTAATTGCATTCTTTATCCACCATAATTATTATTTCTTTCATTTTTCTCTCTTTCTTTGTTATTCAATGTACTTGTCATGACTGTTATTGTTGCTCTTTCTCTCACTTGCTCTGGGGTTTGAGTGAAAAATGACAATTCTCTTTTGTGATCAGCCCCATTAGATGACTGCTTTTCTTCTCGACATAAAAGAGTCATTATCAAAAATTTGTGGTTAGTTTGCTGATGTTGCCTTGGGTCTGTAAATGTTTTTTTTTCTCATATGTTTGATTGATGATTAGACATGGAGCAGTAAGAACACATAAAAAAATGAGGAGTTATTCTAAGACCCAATGGCCTTGCTGCACAAGATAAAATTGTGCTAATGAGGAGTCTTCTCCATCTGTCATTTTACTCACTCCCTACAGTGTAGCTTACTACATTGCTGTGATTACCCTTCTTTGGTGTCTGCTGTGAGTTCAATCTCTTCCTTTGTCTCTGCTCTCCTCCTTCCTGCTTTGTGTCTTATGTGTGCTCCGTGTATCTTGACTGTGGTGGACTTCTCTGGCTACGGTAGGTCTGATAGCACGCGGCACCCCTCACTGGCCGCTCTGTGTAAGCGCAGACCAGGGCAGGGCGGGAGCGGTGTTGGGGGGGGGGGGGGTGGGCTGGGCTGGGCTTGGAGGGGTTTGGATTGCAGTGATGATGACAATGATTGCTATGGCTTCCTTAGTTTTTTGCAACATTAGATGCTGCGGGTGCTTGAGGACTCTTTGGGAGCAATTAAGCTGCTTCGCAAAACCCACTGAACTGATATGCAGCACCGATTGCTATGTCTTGAATATTAAGAGACTGCAATTTCTGGCAAAAAATAAAACAGAATAAATATCTGTTTAAATATTTATCGTTGGAAATGAACATGAAATTCATCCTACGATTAAGCCTCTTGAATGACGAGTGCACTGAGCTACTCACTAGAGATCACTAACATGCATGTGCAAGGGGTAAGCTGGATATTTGTCTATAATAGCTGAAACTTTCCCAGAGAGCTTAGAGCATGTTTAACGCTATGCTAGCCTCAATTTTAGAGCACAACCAAAATATTGATGGCAACCTACTATCCAACGTGATGACCTGGGTATGAAATTTACCGTTCTTTGGTTGTGCAAGCATGCTCTTAGCTCCATGACAGATTAGAGTGTTTGTACCTCTTGACAAAAACCAGCATATTCCCTTGCAGTAGGTACCATTGTATGGCCACAACTTGACTTGAGAGTAACTTTCCTGGATGACCCATGCTGCTGACATACTAGGTGACAGCCATTGATGCCCTTTTCCTCCCTGAAGCACTTCGAACTCGCTGAAGAGACATGGTGGGCCAGAATGTTTGCCTTAGTTTGGAGTGAACAGTAAAGACCTGATCGTACATCATAAAAAGCCTAATCCATAGTCAGCTGCCTGCTTTAATGCACACCATGTTTCCTTAATCCTAAGAAACTGAGTTTGGATTTCACTCAGTTGGTGCCATCCAAAGGGCATTCATTCAGACGTAGCATGTCTTTATCTCTGAGCCCCCACTGGAACTGAGAAGAACTGGAAAATTCTCAACATAGCATGAACCCTCCATGGATGTGTACATTTCACCCGGAAATTTTTAAGCCGGCAAATATTTGCCACTGAGGTCTACAGCAACATTAAAACATAGCTTTTACCTATCTTCAGACACCTTAAAGCAACTTACATTTGCCATCAGAAACCAACTTGGATCCTGCATTGTGTGGCCTGGCATGCTTGAATGAAAAGCATTCATCACAGTAAAGACACAAATAAGGATACTGTGCGATAACGTGTGTGTGTGTGTGTGTGTGTGCGCGAGAGAGTGCTTGTTTGTGTGTGAGGCAGAGATAATTTTTAAGCATGCATGAAAGATGGCATGCAGGCAAATGTGTGTATGTGTGTGCGTTATATTTGTGTGTGTACCCTGTTCCTCTTCCAGCTCTTCAGTGAGTAGTTGGACCCTCCAGTCTTACGAAGACATTTTCAAGAAGACAGCTATAGGAAAGTAGGCCATACTAAGATATTATCTTGAATCCAAAATAAATTTACTTTAGTCCTCTCGCAGCTAATTTCCCACACACAATTAAATCAAGACCGCTTTTAAAGAGCTACTGCAGCGATCAGTCACTAAAGGAAAGGAAAAAGGTTATCAATAAAAACTATGAGTTAATATTCTTCATTTCAGGGACTGGTTGCTGTCTGTAAACTGCTGAATCTTTGTTCAGATTTAATCTGATTCACACCAGCCTGAAAATCTGGACTTGTTTTGGAATTAATCTTTGCCTTCAACTCATAAATTGGAGTGTTTGTACCTCAAAGCACCAAATTCCTATCAACAGTAACAGTGAAAAAAACACACAAGGAGACAAATGACAGGTGTTCAAATTATTTACAGTGTATGCTACAATGTAGCAAATAGTAGATTATTTTTAACCTCAAATTCGCAAGGTTGAGGATTTTTCTGTAGAGATGTCAGGTTTGACTCTGTCAGTGACTGATCGAATCATGTCACTGCCAGCTCTGCCCTTTTATTCCTCTTCTTAAGGGCATGCGGCTTCTTTACGTACATGGAATGGACAAAATAACCAAAGTGTGGACTTGAGGCCTGTACAGGACTGTTTTCCTAATCCCACCTCTCACTGGATTATTGACTATTACCTCTCTCTCCTGCCTGCACCTACAGACTTTGTAACTGTTCACACAGTTTCTGTTTTACTTTATTTTGCCCTCTTCTACATTTTGTTTAATGTGTTCAAGACTTCAGAATATTGTGGCAGCTAACAAAGTCCAACACTTTTCCATCTTTTTTCTATAATAGCTCTTTGAACCAGTTTGAGTCATGCCTTGCTTCCAATTTTCTTTGTAAAGCTATAAGCTCTTTCTTTATTTGTTGGCTTGATAGACTTCAAGCCTATGTGCCCCACAGCACTGAATGGCTTTGAAAACAGAAAGCAGCCGTTGGCAAATCACAAAACCAGCGTGTTGTCAAAAGTATGAAATATAAAACATCAGATGTTGAAAGTGATGCATTTCACTATTTAACAAAAATAGCAATTAATCTGGAATTTGATGGTCATTTTTCTTAAAAGTTCTGTTTTTTGCTCTCCTTTTAAAAGCTGTCCAGGAATGTTTGCATACCACTGAGAGTAGCTGGTCTCCGCTTTTGGAAAAGGAACGTCATCCCAGTTCTAGCTGCTCAATAGTCCAGACCCTTCTGTGGTATTTTATTTTTCACGATTCTTCAATGGAATTCAACGGTTGAAGTGTATACACCGCTAGCAAGCCTGTCTAACACAGAAACTCTTCTATCAGGATCCATTTCATTAAATGCCGTCCCTGATACAGCAGTGCCTTGTTTAAATATGATGACAGCATATGTAGCTCTGTATAAAGCACCTTTCAGCACTGATGGCGCCCTTCTTGATGTCCCTGTTGCCTGTGTCATAGGTACTAATGCACCCTTATGATTTGGGATGATTTTTTACCAATTTCCACAAAGAATTTCAGTAATTCAATAAATCGGAGACGGATCAGTCTTTTCTTTGCCTCAGTCCATCGTCAGTGCTCTTCGGCCCAGTGAGGACAGCTTATTCTTTTCAGGACAAAGCTTTAATCTGCACTGTCGGATGGCACCGACAGTGCTCACAGAGTTGGGCCTGCTTTTGATGCCGGGCTACCTGAAAGCCCAGGTAGCAACCACCCAGCACGGAGTCTGTCCTTAGCACACAGAAATGTTCCATATCATTGTTAACATCCGATGTTATCATGTACTGTAGACGATGGAGTTCTTATTTTCTTTATGATTTTACATAGACAGTCCTTAAGGGCTTTGCAGTCTGCTCAACCTTCTTCCAGCTTTCCTTTTCAGATATTCTGCGTCTTTAATTTATATACATTCAATTATGTTATTTTTATGTCCAGTCATACCAATCAATCTGATTGGTTGCGCCATTTTTATGTAACTATTTCCATTGAACTAATATCATTCTAAAATAATGATATGCCTCACTTTCAACATTCAATGTATTTTCAGTGTTATATAGTGAATTATATATTTATTTGGGACATTTACAGTGTTCTATTTATTTTGTTATATTATTGGTATTAGGGTCTTTTGAAGTAAGTATTCTATAATATGTCAACACTTTGTTTTATCACCTAAGATGAATCATGTTTGGGATTTGTGTGGCTGCAATTCTTTTTTGATTGTTTTCCCCTCGGTAATCAGTTATTTCGTCCACTCCATGTACAAGAAAGCCCTCTGACAGCTTGACAAATGAGTCATATCGATTTGATGCTTCCTAATTACTCCCTAATTATGAAAAAGAGAACTTCCAAAGGTTTTGCAGAGCTGTTTTCAATCGTAATGCGAGGCCTTCGTATTTTTTCTGTCCATTCCTTGTATGTTGGCTGTTTCATTGCCTTTCCACTGTTAACACAGAATTGACATAGTACTTTTACACCAGCGTGGGAGAAATTCTCTGCCTTTGGTTGAAAATTGAACACACCTGTAATACCCATGAGAAACAGAGCACAGCAAATGGTGTCACCCAAGAAATAGTGAAATCAAGTCAGGTTGCAACCGTGGTCATCGATGAACAGATTGCACTAGTAGCACTGGGGTAAGTGGAAGGTAGGTGCTGTGACTTACCCAGCGGCTGACACCCGTGGTTTGGGGCTCAGCACCGTTGCCAACTCACAATCATCCTCTCACTTCTGTTTCTGCTGCCCGTGTCCCTTCTGTCATTGCAGAAACAACAGGATGATGATGACGAAGAAGATGATGTGGAGCCCGGACTAACTGGAGACGAGAAAGAGGAGGAAGTGAAAGAGAAGGAAAAACTTGGGAAGCTGCAGTATTCCATCGATTATGACTTCCAGGAGAACAAGGCAAGCATGTTATTGGACTGGTATAAGTTCATAAACGTTCTAAAAACATAAAGCATCGATTTTCTTGGGTCTTGAAAACACATTTAACCCCACAACATCACACTCTCCAGCTGACTGTTGGAATCCTGCAAGCAGCTGATCTCCTCTCCATGGACAGTGGAGGCACCTCAGACCCGTACGTCAAGGTCTTCGTCCTCCCTGACAAGAAGAAAAAGTATGACACAAAGGTTCACAAGAAAACCCTCAATCCTGTGTTCAATGAGACCTTCGTTTTCAAGGTAAGTGGAAACGGAAAAGCGGTCACCCCTAAGGGATTGTATAGTAAGTCAACATTTACATTAACGCATTTGATGGCCAGATTGATTCTGTTAAAGCTGCACTACTCCTCTGTTTCTCCTGTGTCCTGTAGAGCTAAGCAGGTACTTAGAGTCTGTCTTTTTCTACTCTTTGACTTCTGTCCAACAGTGATAAAAAGCAGTCGACATATTGAAGCTTTCTGACAAGGAGAGTGTGGTGGAGAATAATATTAGAGGAGACGGCCTCCTCCAGTGCACTTTGGCTGCTGACACAGCTCTATAAAAAAAAAACAATTCAACAGCCATACGGGTCTGTCAGAGTCAGGAAGCTCTGCTGAAGCAGCATTTCTAGAGCCAAACAATTCAGATCTGCAAGACATTGGCAAATCCCCAGATTGCTTTTACGGGGCGGATTTTACACACACTTTCCTTAAACAAAAATGTCATTTAAAAAATCTTTAAAAAATCTTTTTACGAGATTCTTTCAACCACAACCCATTCAAAGGACAAAATACAAATTTACCAAGTAAAGAAGTTTGATATACATAAAAGTTAGTCATGTAACCATGTAAGAAGTGCTATTCATTCTTCATTCATTATTTTATATACAATCCCTTTAACCTCTGGAGAATAGAGTCTGCCTAGTGATTTCCTTCTATGTACCTTATTTTCAGGTTGATGTGAAATGTAATGTTGTATATGTGCACCTGCTAAATGCATAAACAAACACAGCGTAACATACAGATGACTATGAGTGGCTGCTGTCTTTCAGATACCATTCCAAGAAATGGGAGGGAAGACTTTAGTCATGTCTGTCTATGACTTTGATCGCTTCTCGAAACACGATATCATCGGAGAGATTAAAATACCCATGAACACCCTTGACTTGGCAAAGCCAATTGAAGAGTGGAGAGACCTGGATAGTGCGGATCAAGAGGAGGTAAGGTCTCACTTTTCACTAAAAACCTGGAATATTTCAGAAAAGCATGCTGCATTACTTCTATAACCCTCTGGATGGAAAGTGTATTTATGTTCGCTCAGACACACACATTAACACAGAATGGAAAATGCACATTTCCTAGATTTACTTGAAGGACTTTTATCTAATGTTTTTTTTTTTTTTTGAATGTCTGGTCGTAGGGTGGATGTGATCATTCATCCAAATAATGACCATGAATTGATGTGATCAGTCAGGAAAAGCTCCGCCCTGTTTGATAGTTAAGAGCCTGTCTCATCAATTCTTCCCTGTGTTTTCTTGTTATGTATCAGTTGACGTACCACATGAGCGTTATGCCTGCCATCCTGCAGCTTCCTCACCAGCCATGCAACTTTTTATGTAGCACTTTTATTGTTTGGCAGCACTGGAAGATGAGGAGCTCATTTTCATCAATGAATTGACTACTCCAGAGCCACCTTGAGACAAAATGCCAACTGTATTATTAATTCACTTTTAGTCTCCAATCATTTCCCAGGCAATAAAAAAACCCACGAGATAGGTTGAAAATAATCTCTGACATGACTAAACTGATGGCGGGCGGATTCATTATGTTACGAAAGCCATTAAAACATGCTGTACATCTAATTTTGTTTACGCAAAAGAGGTTCTGCTCAAAAATGTTCAACCTCTTTAACTTTCTATCCCCTTTTCTCCTCCTCACAGCCAGAGAAGCTCGGGGACATTTGCATTTCCCTACGTTACGTGCCCACCGCTGGCAAGCTCACGATCTGTATTTTGGAGGCTAAGAACCTGAAGAAAATGGATGTGGGCGGACTTTCAGGTGGGCTTCTGCGTGTGTACAGAACTGAGGATCAGATGTTTACTGTAGCTGGCTTGCACTCAAGACCATTTCATTTCTAAGTAAAGAGAGGAAGGCTCCCGCTTTCGGTGGGTCTGCGGTGTGTAAAAAGCGTGTGGTGGTGAGCCATCGGTGCGGTCCCGCTCTGCTCACGTGCTCCAGCTGCACGTGCTGAGGCTGCAGTGCTCACCATGCAGCAGCACATCACTCATCCTGGCTTTTGCTGGGGCCCCATCTGTTGGAGCTTTAAGGCACTGCAACCCAGATATGACGGCGTGCCTAATTTTGATCTCCTCCTCCTGTGATTGTGTCCAGATCCCTATGTGAAAATCAACTTGCTGCAGAACGGAAAGAGACTGAAGAAGAAGAAGACCACTGTGAAGAAGAACACTTTGAATCCTTACTACAACGAGTCTTTCAGTTTTGAGATTCCTCTTGAGCAAATGCAGGTATGGACATTAAGTTGAATTTTGAAAAACCTTGAAGGTTTATCCAGGGGCAGAAAGAGCATCACACCATCCTTTGCACACAGAGGTCTGCGTTTGTAGAGAATTGTTGCTACGCAAAAAAAATATTTCAAAGCTCAAATACCGATTTTTGTGAAAACCTAAATAAATAGGTAATTTCTTAGATAAATATCCAACCCGTCATCTGGCTCACAGTGAATTGCTAGTTGTCACATACAGATAAAATACATTAAAAACTAACACTATGATTTCCTCCATGTTTATGTTGATGCATTATCAGCTCATGATGCACTTATTTAGAATTCTGAACACAGTGCTACTCCATCCACAATGAAACAAGCCGAACCTTTAGTTCTGACCATTAAATGTTTTTCTTACACAGCCCTGTTTGATTCGGCACTGTTCAGATTTTAACAGCTGATAAAATGTGCAGGTCTGTCGATTCCAGGCTTGTGTTGAGCAGCTTTCTCATCTTCTTTTAATATGTGTACATTGCATATTTCACAACAGCCTTTGCTGTTTGAAACAACTGCCTCCAAGCTGAGGTTTCAGCCTACACAGAAAAATATTTTTATCCAGGTTTGCACAGTTCTTCTGTTCTTTGTGAAGATTAACACATGAAATATTGCATTTGCTGTCCAACACGGTTATTAATTGTTGCTATATGACCATTTGTACTGCATTTCTGAAGTCTGTATGACCCCATGCTGTTACTTCCGTGACTGAATCTTGGTTGTTTTTTAAGTAGAACCTAAAGGATTTCAAAAAGTCCTTTGCACACACAGACGTAATTACCTTTTGATGACATCACACGCTGGTGATGAAAAATTCAAAGCCATTCCATCGTTCCTTATCAACCTCTTTGCCTTTGACTTTGTAAACTGGACACAAAGTGTGAGCGCTTTAATCGAATGGTTCCTGTTGGCTTGAGCCTTACGCTTGATATCGATTCATTTTCCCAGAAAATCCAAGCTGTGATCACAGTCCTGGATTATGACAAGATTGGCAAGAACGATGCCATCGGAAAGATCTGGGTGGGAAGCAAGTCCACGGGGGCCGGGCTGAAACACTGGTCCGACATGCTGGCCAATCCCCGTCGCCCCATCGCCCAGTGGCATCCACTGCAGCCAGAGGAGGAGGTGGATGCCTCCCTCGCAGCCCTGAATGCCAAGAAGTAAACCTCGCCACCTTCACCCCCACCCACCCATCCATCTCCCATTTCCCCCCCCCAAGCCCTACATTGTCAGTGTATATTCCAGTAATACACCCCCTCCGCCCCCCTCCACCACATTCATCTTGCACTGCCACCTCTCCAAAGATCCATAGAGAGCATTTGACATGGTGGGAAAGGTAGAGGAAAAGCGTCTTATTCTATTTTATCGTGTCATTGAGCAAAGAAGAAAAGTAACAAGATGGACAGATACTCAGTTAATTTCCTTTAGATCTATTTTTGTATTGGGGTTGTGGTTACATTAATGAGAATACAGAGTAGACTATAAAGAAAATAAGAAGCTGTGATAGAGGGGATAAAACATACGTTCACTCATATTGTACTTCTAACCCTTTCCCTTTAGTGGCATAGTTTGCTTTGAATAGTGCTTAACAATAAAATGCTTTATACTGCCATATGATAGAGATATAACACAAGCAGGTCCATTCCGTAGGTGTATTGTGCACCATGTCCCGCACCTGCCAGTTATCATGCTAGATGATTCTGTTTGTTTGAAGTACATTCCTAGAGTTGGGTAGCCGAGTAGGGATAGCAATATGTCCAGTTACCCACAAACACACTGCCTTTTCGATTAGTTAACTTTCGACCCATCGTCTCAGGAAAACTGAGAGGAAACTGAAACTCCATGCCTTTTTTTTCTAAACGGGTTACTGTTGTTCAAACGCGCCACTGGACGAGAAAGAAATCGAATTTGAAATGGTGGATTTTTTTGGGTGACCTACGTCTCACGGCTAGTGTAGGTTAGTGCCGGGGTAGAGGAGGGGGGGTTCAGGACTTTCAGTACAACAAAAAAGAGAAGAAAAAACAACAAAGGGATGTTTTGTGTATTTTTAATTGTGAAAAAAAGTCTAAATGAAATGGGAAAAAAAACAAAAAAAAAACAAAGACTGTCTGTCATCTGAACCAGAAAAAAGCATGGAAACATCTGAGACTGATTCCAACCACCAATGACATGATATTTACAAGGTGTTGATTACTGCCTGCAGTCTACCACCTCCCCTCCCAACACCTCCGATTCTGTATCACACCTGTTCAGTGCTACTGCCATTAGTCATGGACTTGACACAAGGGTTTTTACTTCAAAAGGAATCCCTATAACCGTCTTACAGTCATAAAGGAGACAAGCCTTCCAAGTAACAAAATAAGCAATTTTCAACTACCAGGGACGCCTTCCAGTTAGTAGTGTTGTTCTCTTCATTTCTTTTTCTGCTAGTTTTTTTCTTCTACCCCCCATTTATTTCTTTAGCTTCAAACACGTTTATTCCTTAAGCACTTTAAATCTTTTAAATACGAACGCTCAGAAATCAGAGCTTTTATTTATATCTGTTGGGAATAATTGCATTCCTTGAAAAGAAAAGAGCAAGGGAGTGCATCATCGTTATTATAATTATTGTTATTATTTAGTTGGTTTTGTTCTTGATTTCTTTGGCTTCGGCTTCTGTGAATGTGTTTAAAGCGCTTGGACATTACATTTCTCACTTGGTTGCAAAGATGTGGTCCTGAAGAAGGCACTGATCCACGTGTATTTCATACACAGCGTACCAAACTGTCGAATATAATTGCACTACTGGGTGTTATTCTGTTCTGTGGCAGTTTGACTGCTCTTTAAGATCTGTATTGTTTTTTCTTTCTGATAAAATGTTGTGAAATGGAATTTTTCTGTGGCACTTTCCAGCTGGTCTCTCTTTTTTTTAATGAATGGATAAGAAAAAGAGACATATTTCAGGCCAATACCTCACCCCCCTCCTGGATTCTTCAAAGGATGGATCAGGTTCAGTACAGAGAGCCCAAGACACGTCCGTGCCAACAGCTGTCGCAATGACTCAGTATAATCTCTTATCCCGTCTCCCCAAGTTCAAAGGCAAATATAGGGTAGAAGAAATAAAGAAGGCCTTTAACGGGCTCCAGTGAATTTTCACAAAATGCATCATAGCTATTAACTTGTGGCTGCCAAAAATCTGAGCTAACCACAAACCCCAACTTACTAGCGGGCAATGTCTCAGCCAGAAGACTAACATAATTAACAATGGTCTAGTTTTATTTCTTTTCAAATGACTAGCTTTCAGTTTACATTTGTCATAAATGTAAGTGGGGTTTTGGATGAATTTTAACACCGCAACCAAAAAAAAAAAAGGGCAGGTCTTTCTTTGGCTCTCTATACTTGTAAATAAACATTTTGTGAACGGCGAACTTTTTGAGGATGACCTCGGCTTGCTGCAAAATCCAGACTAGTCGATCAAAAACTCATTGCCTCTTAGTAAACTGAAGACTACTTACTTTCCTTTTTTACTTAAAGACAAGTGAGTGAGATGTGTGTTGTGTCAGGATCCCAGTGTGCTTCTTTCCGCGGGTCTAGCTGTTACTCACACAAACTGCTGATTGTGAGGATCAAAAAGCAACAATTACCAGCTGACTGTGTCAAATGTAAAGCAAATGCAGTCGATCTTTTAAGCATTGCCACAGCTTTTGGGGAATTTAATGAATGTTGGCCCTTGTATTTTTCTCTGTTTTTTTCTCTTTATTTTTCGTTTTTAACTATCACAGACCAAAATTTAGTTTCTCATCATGCATCATTTTTTTGTTGATGAAACAACACTAAAGAAAAGGCAACATGGAAGCAATCAAGCAACCCATTGATGTGTAGTTTTGCCTATATACATAGTTCATACATGTTGATACTGCATGTTTCTACAAAATACTGTACATAAAAGCATGTTTTAGAGACGAAGCAAAAATATCTCGTGTACGTAAATGGGTGTCATTTGCCATTTTAATAACACAGTGATGGAAAGAAAAGATGCACTGTATATTTTCTAAACTGAACAAAGTGTTTATTTTCCATGAGGGTCATTGGAGGGAATATCATACAAATGTAAAAGTAATATTACCAATAAGAACCTTCCCTAAGCCCGAAATTCTTAAGCAAGTGTGTCGTCCAGTACCGTGTGTGAGTTCATGTAGGATGAAGATGTAGCCGCATGCTTGCTATCTAAATTCCCCGTGCTCAAGATTTTCATTTGATCACATTTATTTGCCATTCATTTTGTTTAGGAAGCTCTCAAAGTGTCAGAGTTAAATATATTTTCCATACATAATTGCTCTTGGTTTGCTTGTTTGTTGTTGTTTTTTTTGTTTGTTTTTATATTGATTTCTTTTAAAGAGATGTGTGCTTTAGGTTTTTATTGTTTGGGGATATCCAAGTCTGAAGGGTGATGATATTTTTATTTTTTTTAAGTTTAACGTTATTATGAGAAAAAAAAAAGGTAAAAGAAAGAAAGAATAATTCTCAATAAATAAGTAGACTGCAGGAGTTATTTGTGCCAGCACTGACAACGTATGACGTTTGATAGATCATATAAACATTTAGGGGCCAAAAGATGAATAATCTCTTTGCATTAAACACAAATGACTTGGACACCCCAATTTCTCTTGATTTACTCAGTTTTCCTCCTCTATTTGACTTACCTGGAACACTTAACGGCTGTGTCTCTTTTACTGTGTCTAGTAATCAATATGTGTACATGTGGACAAAATAAATTAATAAGATAAACCGAAAGCCATAAAACTCAAGCACTAACTCTTTAGAGCTCAGCCGAGTAGCTAGAGTTTATTTATGATGAAAAAAAGTTCGACATTGTCTTCATTTTCCTTGGCTGATATCTCTCCTACATTCCTTCCAGAGGTTTTTGTTCATTGAGAGAGCAAAATCCATTGTTCTGTATATATGAGCATTGAGAACAGTTGTGAGATTAGTAGAGTGTGTGTGTCTTTTTCTACTTTCAGAGCTGTTGATGTCCTTGTTTAATAGATGTAGCGGATTTTACAGTATTGTGTTTAGTAATGTATTTCCTTGTTTTGATAGTATAAATGTAAGATATATCACAATACATTCTCAGTAATAATGCTAAAAGTATATAGAAATATACATAGATGAGAGTGTGTTCTAGTCTTGGGCTGAGTGCAATTTATGAGCTATTCAGGGGTCACTCTTTTAGTTTCTCTTTTTCCAATTTAACAGAAGAATGTACTTGTACAATCAAAATATAATTACAGGAAGATTTAGGCTTAGTGAGAGGGATTTTGTTGTTGTTACTTTGTTTTTACTTTTTTTTCTTTTTTGCCTTGCAAGCTGCTCAAACAACAACGATTAAATTGAGAAAAGAGAAACTTAAAATGGTACATCCCAAATTTTAAGCCTGAATCCCTCCCATAGAACTATGCATATATTTATGATTTTCACAGACTCATGGCAGAAATATCTGAAGAAAAGTGTGTTTTCTGCAGATGAAGTGAAACTAAAGAAATGGTTCAAGATTTTTGGGGGAAATCGTTTTCTTGCCAGAAGCTATACACAATGAAAGGACACATCTGTTTTCCTGCAAAGGTTAAGAGGAACCAGGCAAATGAGTTTTGTCAGTACACCTAAGTACAGTCAATAATCTAGTGATATTTATGAAAACAGGAATAGTTTTGAAAACAGGCTGTGGAATCGCCCACTGGGTTGTAGGATGCCATTTTTAACATTAACCAAAACTTTTTTTTTCTTTTTCTTTTTACAAGATATCAAACATTTAACCTTAAATGTTTGCTCGGAAATTCTTTGGTTGTTTACAAGTCACATTTTAAGATATATATTTATATAACCTATGTAAGAGCATTAAAGTTGTTACACGCATATCCGTGGTATCTAAATCTGTGAAGTGTTAACATTTTACTCAGACAGGTTTGGTTGAGTCAGGATTTAGCTAGCTTAGCCTAGGTAGCCAGGAGGAAAAAATAGCTTGATGTTGTCTTTGCTTGCCAGATGTTGAACAGAATAATTTTACCCTTTTTTATTTGGTTTTGTTTTTAGATTTAGTTTGTGTATATTTTCAAAATATTGTTGGCTGAATGTTTGTTAATTAGTTAGCTCTAGGCTTGATTGTGTGTTGCCTTTATTTTGATTAAAAAATTAAGCTAGCACATTTAGCAGACAGATAAGAAGGAGGTGTCTCCTACTCATTTCTTTCTTGGCAAGAAATCGAATAAGCACATTTTCCAAAGAGTCGAACTATTCCTTTAAGGTCACCTCAAACACTGAATTTTCTTGAAGTGAACAGGCGACAGTCCTCAGTGTGTTGCAGGTTGTTTCACATTGTCTGATGCAATATAGTATTTATTCATTATCCCATTACTCCCACTGACTGTGACCAAATAATGTACTGAGAATAGTTTATTGCAAGATCTCAGTTCAAAAATACTGCCAGCACCTGATTACATTTGCCTGCATTCGCCACCACTGTTTGGTTCTGCAAAGCCAAGATAACAATTCACGCAGAGCAAAGACAGAGTGCATCAGATGTTGTGGCAAATGTTTTTGAAGGTCAATTCATAGCACACTCGAGGAATTTATTTTTGATTCCTTTCACTGCCTGGGTCACAGCAGTAACATAATCATTGGACAAGTTCTATGGGGGAGTATGACTGGGAGCGGTCCACCTGTATCTTCAATAAACAAATCAAATGAAGGGCCCTTTAATAGACATGGTACAAAAACACAGCACTCGATTATACAACATAAATTACAGGTATGCGTACTTGGGACTCATAGCTAATTTCTAAATGTACATCTTTGTGTGTATAGCCAATACTCAAAATAATACTCTTATTTATGGTTTAAATATTGTCATTTATCTGTTCTGATAATGGCTGTATAGATATATGATATCTTAGGCACAAATGCATCTAAAGCTGTGTGGTTTCAGAGAGTTTTAGAGCACGTTCATATAGATCAGATTTCTTTTGTTTTCACTTTTAAACAAACAATGGGAGTTAAAAAAGGAAACTATGCGAAATTCAGTGATCATTTACCGCATTGTCAAAATGTATCAAAGAGCCTTCAATTGGTAAAGGCATCCCACTGAAATATGTTGTCTTGTCTCCTCTATTACTCACTGTACTTCTTTGTATTCTTCTGTATATGTGTAATCACCTCTTCGGTCTTGCTATTTATTTCGTTATGTATACCTCTAATGTAGGGTTAGGGTTTGAGACCATGCCAGATATTTGTCACCATACTCTTTCACATTTGCTTTCTGTTTGTGTCTTCGTGTTGTTTCCGTGTAACCAACTCTCAGTATCATTATGCTGAACAGAAAGCAGGCTCACTGATGTCTCTACCGATGTTGCTTTTGGTGAACGTAAAGATTGCTAGCCTTCATGTTTACAACATGGACATTCTGTATACTGCCAAACATGCAGGGCCGTACCAAACTCCTCTGTTGAGTGCTTGGTCCTCCACCTCCCAGCCTGATCCAGCTGTAATTTCAAGACTTGTTTCTTTTTCCTGCTTCACCACTTTCTCTTGATCATCTTTTAAAGCATTGGAGGGTAGTCAGGTTGTGTCCCCTAGCGGTGTTTCTTCGTGTCTAGTGTCGTGGTGCGCGTGTTCATGTCAGTACTTGTGCCTACTGTGGATCGCATGCTTTAGCCTTTGACTGGACACAAACGTTGCTCACAAACTCCTCTTGACCCTTATGTGGACATATGTTGGGGATCCTTATAAAGTTATCAAGGGAACCAAATAACTTATTACAAATTTATCATATGTGTTACCAGTTCTGTAAAAACAAATAGGAAATAAAGGCCTTTTAATTACCATACATTGTTTGTCTTCAATCTGCAGCGTTTAATGTCTCAAAGTTATTTGATCAAATAATGGGTCTGAGGCTATAATGCAACATATTTAAACGGGTCAGTGTTACATTCTGGAAGCTGGGGGACAGGCTACATGTATAGTGACTCACAGCTGACTGTTAATCTTAATAAAAGTGGTAAGTACACATTGTTAGTGATATCTTAATTTGCTTATTTTGGGGGAAAAGAATACAATTTTTTTGTTTATCTACTTTATTTTCTTTCATTACAGCTAGTTCCATTCTGTAAATGAATCAAAGACTTAAAAAAAGCATTTCAATAGGAAATCAAAAGAACAAATTTAACAAAATACCACACTTGAAACTGGTTAGATTTATAAGGTGTATGTTTATTGAAGGAGTGGGGTTATACCACATTGCCGTTGGCTCATTTACTGTAGGTGCAAAATATAGATAAGTTGGAATGTGAATGATAATGACTGCTGGCTAGAGTTAAAAACTTTGGATGAGGCTTTTTATTAAAAAGGCTGTCATGAAAAAATGTTATATATTCATCACAGCCATAAGAACAGCCCCCCAAAAAAGAGAGACTAAATGAAGTGTAAATTTGCAATCTAGTAATCCATAAATAAATAAATATAGCTCTCTTATAAACATAATATAGGACATTTTTATTCTACACTTTGTTTTAGTGTCTACGTAGTCAATTGTTTTTGAAGATATATATATATATATATATTGTGATAATTTATCTTATTCATTGGAGTTTATGTGCTTTAGGTCGTGTTCTTGTGGGCTCTAATGAAGCAGATCACCCACAGGCTTAGGCTGTGGTTTATTATTTTTGTGATGTGGAAACTAAAATCCACATTGGAGAAGGACACAATTGTGTGGCACATTGAAAAACATATCTATCAGGGCAAACACAACCCAGGTCCTTCATTTCTTTATGTTTTTGTCATTGTTTATCAAGGGTAAACCTTCTTTGTGAAACACACATCCAATTGCAAAATAAAGAAAAAGCAAAGCATTTTATCTGCCACTCTACAAAACACATGTCTCTCTCTTTTAGATTTTTAGATTATATTTCAAAAAGCGCAGTGTAATGTGGCAACAAATGTAAATTGTCAATGTCATCTGATGGTATTCCCAAGGAGTAAAGCATCGTCATGCAGAGCCTTACATTTGGTTCCTATATTGCGTATGTAAAAAGATTCTTAAAGACGAAGGCAATTATCAAGGTGGTACAGTGGCAGTAAAGTTTAAAATCTAAAAACACATCTCTTTGGATCTTGACAACTTCCAAAGGAATGTTCAGGATTTGTTTCAGCAAACACAATCTGGCCCATCAACGATACAGAGAGAATGCAAAACACCTTGTGAATGACTTAACTGCCTTATCAAAGTTTGAGCATCTACAAAGACGGAACAGGATCTTCATTGTTTCATTTGGACAGCTTGCTGATGACTCGAATGAGAGCTCCATTCTCATCCTTTAGCCTCTGGTTGTCCGACTTGAGCTCTGTTAAGACCTGGGAAGGTAAGAAAAATTAAGCAGCATTACAAAAAATGCCAAGTTTGTACAGTTAGTTGCGGTTAGTTTCTTTGTAAGTTTGTGATTAAAGCGTGAGATGACACAATTCCAAGGACTGTATGCTGCAATCATAGAAGATCCTTTACAACCACTTACTGCCTATGGTCCAAAAGTTATCATTCACCAAAGAATGCTAAGCAATGAGGCCATGCCTTACAATATTTGACCATGCAGTGAACAGTGACATTTACAGTGCACCCCCTTCGTGTTAAAAGTGACAGAGAATGAAACACAACTTAGAGAAGGTCAGTTTCCCATATCTAGACCATGTCTCTCACAATAAGCATGATTGAAAGTAAACACCCTCTTTGTCAAACTATTTCCTTTTTGGTAGAGACAGACAATAACCCTCTGCTCACGGTCCCATTACCGTGACAAGAAAATGTGCAAAGGTGCCAGCGATCATCATGCTAAAAAACTGTGGACATTCTTTCAGTATAACTGTTGGAACAGTTTTTTTCTGGAGGAGGGGGCGGGTGCAACTTTAAAAACTGTTATTATCCACCACATCTGTACAGTCCAGCATAGTCTGGCTCTGTCCACATAAATGGGAAAAATATTCGGAATAATGTCCTACTCCTAAGTAAACAATATTACTAAAACCCAAACAAATCTATTTCAAAGTTGTGTTTGTTCCAAAAATGTCTTTCACACAAAAATATGTCTCATACTCATATAAACTGTATTTGTGTCTGTGTCTCAGAATGACACAGCACGTGTCTATTTTAAATGATAGAATAAATAAAAGACTGACTATTTCCTAGTAAAAATAGCTTTGTATTGATTATTCAGGACTTGCATATGTCTAAAAATCAGTGTCTGCTGTATATGACTGTAATTTGAATGGTATGATGATGAACAACAGGCAACATGAATGCAGTTCAAAACATGTAGAAAGGGAAGGTTTGTCACATGAGTTATAAGGGCAGGATAAGGGTCCACTCAGAAGCATTAGAGGATACAGGGACAAAAAAATGAAGGATGCATGCCAGAGCAGGAGAAAGCAAGCATCAGAAAAGTATGGGACCTGCCTGAGAGGAAGAGAGCAGAGAAATGTGGGACAGGATGCAAAGGCACCAGTAGGAAACAGAAGTGTGAGTCGTGTGTCTGAGGAGGGGGGGGGTAGCAGGGCGGAAATGAGGGCAGATGATCTCAGAGGATCAGAGGTCCTCAGTCTCCGGCATGGAGGCCGTCTCAGAGAGGCGGGCGAGGACACGCAGCATGGCTCTGTTTTCAGCCAGGAGACACTTGTTCACCCTCCACAAGGCCTGGGCCTGAGCCAGAGCGGGGAAAGCCTGCATACAGGAGCAGAGGTAGATACAGACAGGAGCAGACAGAGAACGCAGGCGGGGGGGGCGGGCTGTGTGGAAAGGGCGAGACTGGGTCCATATCCAACCCTACTGGCATGCACCCACGCAGAGAACTATAGAAGCCAGATATTTATATTGAAGGTATACAAAGAAATGTTTACATCCCTAGGATATTTTTAAAGAAATAGCAAAAATGCTAAATGCAAGGAAAATTATCATGCAGGTCCTCGAGGTGTTTGTACTGACAAAAACAGGGCATCATCTGGCAAGTGGTGAGGGGTTACTGTGATCAGAATCCCTTAAAAATGAGTGGATAAATACCTATCTATAAATATAATACACAAAACCCCAAACCTAGGGAGAAAAAGTCCCAGAAGAGGAGATTAATCATTTCCCCTTTTCTTCTGGGCTTGTCTTTCTGAGGTAAACCTCAGCATGGTTAGACATAAACATTGTGGTTTGACACTATCCTTGAGGGTAAACCACCTCACTCACACACACACACACACCCACACACACACACCTAAAAGCTAGCTCTGCTTTTCAGCTTCATCGGCTCTCATTTATTGTGGGTGGTCAGCGCCAAACAGCAACCAACAAATGACAAATTGAAGCCGAGTGCATTTACCAAACTTGGTTTTACTTCAAGCTGAGGATCTTAATGTTTCTTCCTAACATGGTCCCAAAACAAGTAATCTTTGTCACACGCACACACACTGTTGTGTTTTCTGTGAAATTTGTTTATTTGTATAGTTTTGTTATTTCTTATTTGCATGTTTAAATTAAATGCTTACATTAAACCAGAACTAACAAAATGGCACAAGAGTCACATTTGAGAAGTTTAGGAGCCTAATAGTGTAGTTGTACCTCTTTAAGAGAGGCGTGTGCTGTGCGCTAGATTAGTTTGTTTGAATTTACTGTCAACTCGGTGTGCAGCCACTAGGTAAGCTCCCTTAATTTATTGCTTTCCTGTCTGCTTTCATGTTGTATGCTTCATATTGTCTGCTACGCTGTATTGTTGTGCTGTGTTTACGTCTGCTGGTTCCTTGTGTTGTAACGCTATGTTAAATGCGATAATGTTGTGCTCCGGTGGCATCCAAGCAGTTTAGTTGCTGATATTTAATCAAAGTCAAAAGTTATGAATGGCGAAGCGGTGAGATAAACATTTGAACTTGTTACGTTGCCGTCTTATCCATGTTCGTTTCTTTAGCTTTAAAAAATGTTTGATGAAGTGATGTGCAGATACCGGTGTTTGCCGTGAGTTCAGTACTTCCTGGTTTGCTGCAGGGCATTGTGGGAACTGTAGTTTAGTGTAGCAATTGCTGAGAGGGACTAGAGAAAAAAAATGCATTTTTTGCATGGGACTTTTTAGTAGGATTTGAATATTGTGCATAATATTTGATATATGAAATATATACATGAAGAAATTATGTTATATATTTGAATCTTGGTTCATGCATATGATGATCACTATGCTATTATTAGTTGATTTCAATTCGGTGATATTTGTCTATGGATATGTGTTATTTATTATTATTGCTTGTTGTTAGTGGGCTATTATGGTGAGTGAGCTTTGTGTGTGTTATGCATATGAGTGAAACTTCATTTCTTACATTTCAGGTTTATTACCTGCTGCTGCTTTTCCCTTTTAAATAAATAAAACAAAATAAAGTGGAATAACTAACTAATATCTTTTGTACACCGGGTTGCCCTTTCCGTGGGAAGAAAAACGGAACAGACACTGATGAATTCACTTGTAGAGTTTCAGGCCACCCAGACATACGTTTGAGAGGATGAATATGGGCAAAAATGTTGAGTAAAGGGGAACTAAAACTGTTTCATGAAGCACATTCACAAGGGTAATTTAAAGCAGCCTGGTTTGAGGGCTTTACAGTTCAGCCATGTAATGTTCTTTTGGCATCAGGAGAGAGATTGTGAAGAAACGGACAGAGTATGGCAAGAATGCACAATGACCAGCATCCCTTATTCCTCTAACAAAACACTCCACTGTTTGTAAGTGAAACAGTTAAGACAAGTCATTCAGATTTTTAAAAAGGTTGCTAGTTAGCCATTTCGTCAGAGGTGTATAATGGTTCATAGCCATATTTTTAATCATTTTTGCCTCAGTTCTAAAAGTGAAACGGCAGTAAATGATTTTCATAAGGAACAGCTGAAACTAAGGCCACTTATGTCCCCACAGTTGCATGTCTGACCAGAACCACCGCCACGCCTTTCTCTACACTTAGGTGACATCACTCAACAGCGCCATCTTGTGGAAAACGTGCAGATCACTCAGTGTGAAGTAGTAGCTGTGCAAGAGGGGTGCAAGCCTGTTCCCTCACAGCTAGAGATGAAAGTTGTGCAGCTTTTACAGTGTGAGGTACTTGTATTTTTTTTTTTAAATGATAATGAACCCACGCGTGTAAACATGCCCCGGTGTCTTTCAGAGCAGACACATTCGAGGTGCCAGGCAGGTGTCAGTCACTCGGTTCTATCGACCACTCACCATCCCCGCAGCCCTGAGCCCACCTGCTCTCAGGGCTGGTACCCACAGCGGAACCGCAGTGGGGCGTCCTGCTGAGGGAACCATGACAACAGCAGGCGTCAGATGTGTCGCTGGTGAATCACACCTCTGTATGCCACCGCATTCTTCTGACTCACCTCGGCCCCGGGCTTATTTCACCATGCTTCCAATTTCTAAAAATTCTTACTCTGTAATGGCGTGCGTGTACACTGCAGACCCAGAGTGCTGAGGCCTGAAACTCTGTAGCCGTGTCCCGTGTTTCTTTGTGAAGCAGAGCACACGCAGAACGGCACAGGAATGTCTCACAAAAGCAGGTCTTTTGCTCTTGGACCGGTTTTGGTATTCCGCTGGAACTAGGTCACAATGTTCACCCTAACAGTGGGATAAGTGGAGCAGGGGAGCAGCAGTGCTCAGGCAGGAAGTGGACCAGCAGAATACTGTGGCTAATGAGCCTGAAGCAGTAACCTTCCCTCCCCTTTTTCTCCAAACTCACCTGGCTGACCACAGACCTGCGGCGTGGTGTATGTGTGCTCTGCTTTGTGAAAACATTTTAGAGATGCTTGAATTAGCTTGGGAAGAGGCGGGGGGTGTTAGTGTCATGACGGTGTTTGGAGAAAAACTTCAGTGAAGTAAATGTAGCACAACTAGCTCCTGAAACCAAACAAATGCCATTTAATCTGAATGGGAGTGCGTGAGTATCTGTTTTGCATTTTCTGACCTTTAATTCCTCCTCCATGTCAGACACTCTTCTCTCAAGACCTTGTTTTTCCTACAAATAAGAGAGAAATGGCAACATTCTGAGTCAGGAGGGAAATTAGCAGAAAAGACAGCCACAAACACATCTGAACATTTATCCATCTTGATGGTTCAGTAGAGCATGATAACATAGAATGCCAAAATGCCTAAAGGTTCAAAGAAGACTTACCCTCTTCTCTGATTCTAGAACTGTAGATCTTTCTGATATTCTGTCGTGTCTCTGGAAATCAGAGGGCTAGCGTTATTGGGGAAGATTGCAAAACGAACCGTGTGTCATTCTGATCGGTATTTAATGAAAATGAACATATGCAATCACAACCTTTTATCAATATAGAAAACAGGGATGTGAAACAGCAGAAGTGTTTTTCTTAGTTTCTGCTGGCTTCACTGCTCCGTTTTCCACAGCAATGAATGATACCTGAGTGATTTTCTCCAGCTGGGAGCGAATCTTGACTAACTCTTGCTTGCTGTCTTGCAATCTGGACTTGAGCCTCTCGTTCTCTTGCAAAGCCTCCGCATACATCTGAAAATTGGGAAGAAATTTAGCTGGATAGCTTTTTAATCGCACATACTGTAATCATCACAATTGGATGGTGAGAAACATGATTTAGAAGAAATTAACTTAATATAACAAACAGGTTTACAAAGAAAATGCACTGGACGGTTCAAAGCATGTTTTGGATTTCTACAGATCCTCATTCTTCTGTTATTGGAGCATACAAGAAACATTCTCAGGCTGACAATCAAAAAGGGACAGGGAATGTAAAAATATGGGTGTCCCTATAAAAGACAAATGTCAACCGATTAGTTCAGCACCTGGACTCTTCTACAACAGAGCCAAACCGCTGTTATAAGATAATGTGGTTTCACAGACTTGCACATTTTCACGCTGCGGGTGCATTTATGCTCCCTCTGGCTTTTGAACTGCGTATTTATGCCCCCTCTCCTCTCAGGCCCAGAGGACTCCCATTTGGGTATAGCAAAAGGAAAATTAATAGGTTGGCATTCAAACCCAAGCACGGGTTTCCACTTCACCTCAGTCGACCTTAAAAAAAAAACTCTTTCTTTGTGGAACTTCTTTAAATGCATTGTGTTTATCTTTGTTGAACGCTCAGGGAAACCTTTGGTTTCAGCCATCTTTAAGCTGTCTGCTTATAGTCGCATTCAATTTACAACCTCCTTTGGTGAGATTGCTTTTATTACTGTCGTGTTGAGGCAAACTGGCAAATGAGCGAAGCCACTTTGCCAAATACATCCCTAGTGGTTTTCACCAGTTCCACATTAACAGCTTTTTCTATTTGATATGGGTCTTTTAAACTCTCAGCATGACGGTGCGGCTGCAGGGATCATGTCAGATGCTAACAATGTTTGGCTTAGCCTCATTATACCTTATACTCTCATTTAAAATACTTGTCGCCATCTTAGTTTAATGTAAACGTCACATGAGTGATTCAAAGAGACTTCAAAGGGATTACAAATAACTAATTGTCATACTTGCTGTAGTCAGCTGATTTAAAAAAAAAAAGAAAAGAAAATCCTGCATGTGCCAAACAGTCAGACTGTATCCACTGCTGCAGCTTTGAATCCTTCACATTTCTTTCTGGGTTTTAACTACCTTCTTATAGTCTTTGGCAGTGGGGTCTTGCTCCTGTCGGTTCAGGCCCGCCAGCCTGGTCTCTCTCCGTGTGTACGAGCTGGCACGACCCAGAGGTTTCTCTGTGCTGCTTTCTCCAGTGGAGTCGTATCTACAGGCAATATGCAGTACATTACAGCTTGTTTTGTTTTTTTCATTACAATTATTGGCAAAAACAATGCTGGAGAAAGAAAACTATATATCTTTACCTTGACAGTCTTTCATGCTGAAAAAAAAAAACAATGGGGAAAAAAGAATGAGAAAAGAGTGAGTTGTCGAGCCGTAAGCTTCTCAGAGGATAATTACACAGTGATTTATTTGTTAGATAAGACCAAACAAAGACATGAGCAAAAAATTTTCCAGCCACAGAGGAAAGAGGACAAAAACCTAATTTCCAGTTGAGTGATCGAGCCATGTTCGGAGGCCCAGAGTTTCAGTGGTACGTATGACGTGTGTGTGCAGCAGTGGGCTAGACTTCGACAATGAATTATATTTCAAACGAGGTTCACACAGGTCAAGCCTGACTGAGCCTGGCTAAGCTTTTCTAAAAGGGGCTTGCTGTCTCGCGAATGCCTGCCGCAGAGAAGACATCATGACATCAGAAGTTAAGTATGACAGGCTGCTGTCTGACCTCACGCAGCAGACTGATATCACACTGTCCTGGCAGCTCTGTGCTGTGTGCAGGCCTTTCATGGTCGCCAAGACGCTTGTTGTGGTCACATTCTCTCTCTTTTTCCGTTTCTCCCGGGAGGCTGCGGATGCTGCTCAGAGCAGACAATGTCCTCTGGCTGTTTTCGATACAGGTCACTGTCTGTAAACACATCGCCTCAACGATGTCCCCGCAATCATTTAGCACAAAACTGCACGATGCTGGCAGAACCCTGCAATTAGAAATGACCCTCCTGCTGGAGAAGAAAACTTTAAACACGTTTTGCTTGTAAAAGCTTCGCAGTAAACATCTTGTGTGGCAGTCTGAGTCACTCCAGACCAGAAGCAGATGTAAACCGCCATACAAGAATGATGTTAAGTGGGGTGATTTATGTCAAAAGCCCTGCAACTACCGTGTTCACATTTGGTGAGGTGGAGGGATATTTCATACAGCGTCATCGGAGCCATTCTGCAGCAAGTGTTTACATAACTGAGCCAGCGCTGCCTGTCCTTATGTGGTCATGTGCTTTAGCGAAGCTATCCAGGAAAATTCAGACCTCCGTGACCTCGGATGAAAACGAACCAAGGAAGGAGCTGAGATGGGCTCAGTCTCTCTGATCTCTGTGGAACTGCAGGGCGACTCTTCAATCAGACTTGGGGATTTGTTCATTAATTCACAGGGATGATGGGATCCCCGCTTGTTTGAATAAATGATCACAAAACTCTGTTAATGTGTGTAACCCTATTTCACATGAAAGGATTAGGAAATTGGTTACATCAGTCATTTAAACGACTGGGCCCCGTGTAGAGAGCAGGACCAGAAGAAGGGCTGGAACCTTAAAGCATCCATACCAAAGGGAAATGTAGCTGAAATTCTTTTTACCGATGACAGCTGCTCTAATATGATAGTCTTATTAGGAACGCCTGAGGATGATTTGGAGAGACACATGCAGCTCAGAAAACTATTTGCAGCAGAGCAGATGGAGCAGAAGATGATCAAGCCAAACTGAAGGAATCTCGCTCTGAAAAGGGGTGTGATTAAACACCACTGCAAGGACTGCCATTGCCCACACTATGGGGGAGTCAGAAGTGCACACACACACACGCATACATACATAGGTGATAAAGTTCAGTTCAATAAAGATTAAAGTACTCTTCACATATTTTACTTGCTCTTCTCGGCCTTTACATCGTCCTCCAAAAGCTGGCTGAATGCAGCTGGGAAAGGGTTTTTCATTCCTTCATTTAATTCCTTCATTTAATTCTGACACACAAACAGAACTATAAAAGAAGTTTCCTCCACTTTCACTCACCTTTCCTCCACTTTTCATCCATTCCTCCCTCTCTGTTGTAATAATCGATAAGAGTACCTGAGGCTCACAGACAACGCCAGGCTTCTTTCTTTCTTAATATTGTACACTACCTTCTGCAACAGCAAGCTCTTTTACTTAAAATTAACATTTACTGAACCGAGACCTAAAACAAGTTGTCATCAGGGTGCATTTGCAAACATATTGGAATCTTTTGAATTGTTAAAGCTATTTTTTTTGTACTTTTTGGTTTAGTTAAGTCATGTGGCTCCCAGCGTTGGGGTCTTGAATATAAATGTTTATTAGAATACAAGCAAAACTAAACTGGCACAAATTTATGTTTTGAATTAGTTTACTTCACATATTTGCTTTGTAACCTTTGTAGACGTACTAGAATGTGAAATTTAACAGAAACACCTCTGAGACTGTTCCCTGGTCTTAAAATTAAGAGAATTAACGATACATTTCTTTTTTGCAAAATGCAAACTCAGTCTAAATGTTGCACTGCATTTGAAAAGACAGACAAAGCTGCTTTTCTCCACAATAAACATGTGCCAAACGCTGTAGGAAATGTGTTCCTGTTTATTTGTCTTTCTGTTGCTCACAGCTGTAACACACATTGAATTGAAGTGAAGCGGGCCAGGCTCTCATTAAAAGATCGCAGCACGTGCTGCAACAAATGTTGCATCAACCGGATCCCCCCCCCCCCTTTTTAAGGCATTTTCTCTCCCAACAAATCATGTGACATCATGGAAAATTAATGCTTGAGTTACATTACGGACACAGCAGAGAGAGGCTGACACTTCTTTGAAAAGAAAAGGAAGCATTATCCACAAGAGAATCCCAGCATGCACTGGAAGCATTCACTGCTGGCAGCTGTGCAATTAGAAATGCGTCTGCAGCACTGCATTACTGTGCATGCATCTGAGTAGAGGGAAGCACGTTGGGCCGTTTATTCTGCAGCTCAGCCTGATACACTGACACAAACACAACAGTCAAACTACACCCAAGAGAAAAATCCACTTAGAAAGAAAAAAAAACAGGAAATTACAGAGGGAATGTTTCAGTCCGAAAGTATTTTCCACAAAAAGAGATCAGACTCACAGAGCTTCAGAGCAAATATTTGCCTCCTCCTCACAGTTAAATAAATCCAAGCCAAGATTAGCATCATATTCTTTGGAAAATACCACAGAATCACATTGAAAGAACTTGTATGCTATAAATGAGCTTGATATCTAGAAGACACAAAGAAATTATAGTGAGAAGTCAGAGTTTATCTTTTTAAGTGCTTCATCTGATAACTTGATAATTAAGGAAGTTTAGTTTATGACAGAGACTAGAAGCTCAACGTCTTATCTGAGCAACTTGAAATCACAGACATTCATGTCAAAAGGGGCTGAAGTGTGATCAAAGAACTGCGAAAAATGTTTTATGTCAATCATTCAACTGTTCAGCATCAAGCTGCTTCATGCAGAGCCTGTATACTTTCTTATGTTCCTAAGTCCTGAGAAAATCTAAACAAATTTGCATAAAATATTTAAACATGTGAGTTGGAATGCATGTAATGTAAGAAATAGTTTTAATGACATTTATGCTGATAATTGGGCTAAAGCTAGATGAAAATATACCATCCATTACGTTTTTTTTAATTTGTTGTGCCATTTTAAATCGAAAAGGAGTGTTTGCTTACTCTGTAGTTTTTGTCTGTGTAGGATGGAGAGGATGGCGGTGAATCTGTCACTGATTTCCTGGTGCGAGTAAGGTCCTTTGTGCGTGGGTAGTACGATGACATCTCCCACCTCGAGCCCAGACAGGCAGCTCAGCTTCTATTGTAGGGTCGAGGACACTGCCAGATAACAGCCTAACGGACGGGCAGCTTCCCTCAAGCCACAGAGACAGAGCTCTCCATGACTGCACTCCAGGGAAATCCTCAGCAACAGGTGGGCGCGTTTACATGAGCGAGTGTGTGTGGGGTTTCGGATCCATGAGAAGGCCGAGAGCTGCTGCGAACTTCAGACGAATTTCAGATGTGTGCTCATGGCTTCTTTAGGCAGCAATCGGATAAAAATGCAAAGGGCAACAAAAGATCTCTGATCTCCTCGGATCAAAGGAAAAACTAGGAAAATAATTGTTTATAAGATGATCCTGTGATTGCAAGTTGTCAGCATGGAAGTCTCTGATGAGGCGCACAAAAAGTCCAAAAAGAACAAGGGGGAGGAAAGTTTGTTTGCTATGCTGTCTTTTCCTGTGTTCCCCCTAAGTTATACCCTCCCTCACATGGTTTTTTCTCCCTCTCTCCACTTGGCCTCTCTGTTTGGTCCACCTCCCCGTCCCTCCACCCCTCCACGCAGCCCCCAGCCCCCAGCCCCCTGCCTCTCCCTGCTCTCTTCAACTTTGGCAGCTCTGCGTGGCAGCCTGCCAGAGCCTCTGCTGTGGACAGAGTCAGAGCTGAGGGCTAAAATCGTCCACTGGTGTGAGCAGGCGTGGGGGGGGATGGAACACAAAGCTCAGCGACAGGAGGGGGGCAGTGGCCGTTTGTGTTCAGTGCAGTCGACACAGTATTACCTGAGGAGCCATCAACAACTGTCAGGTACTAAATAACTGCACCCCCGCCCACGTAATGGAGACAAGATGCTGTCAGTAGAAGTGCTACAAGCTGTTAATGCGCTTGCACTGCTGATATATCAGCTTTAAGAAAAACATTTTTCATTTACAAGTTTTACCTGACAAGGCTGTGGTGGCCACTTATTTTACCCCTCCACGGTGCTGACTTCATTCTTGTGTTGCAGTCTGAATTCGAGCTTTGTAAGGACATTTTTTTGTTGCTCTATCTTGGGAGATATTTGCCTTCTCTGCATGAGTTATGTGAGAAGATTGATGCTATTCCCATGCCTGGATGAGGCTATAGCCAGCAGCCTGTTAGCATAACTTGGAATACAAATGTGAAACTGGGCAAAAGTGCAGCTATGCTGCGTCTGTCTGTTTCAAGAAGCTGGGGATGTCATTTTCATTCGATTAACAAACTAATTTGACATGTATACAAGTGAGGTTCAGTGAGGCTGGCAAGTGGATTTAGTTACTTTTGGTTCGAGCCCGACACAATTTCAAGTTCACCATACAGATAAATAAGTGGTGGGTATCTTGTTGCCTGATTTCTGGCTATAAAGTTAGATATATTTCCCTTCAAACTGTGCCTTTAAGGAACCTTTTCAACCCTCCTCCTTCCCTGCATAGTTTTCTTAAGCCTGCTCTTCTCAATCTTCCTTTTATAGTGAGGTTCATTTGCAGCACCTTGCCGTACTCCCTCAATCTCGCTCAAGGCAAAGAGTTAAAAAAGATCTACCGAATAGATTGAAACTGAACAGAGACACAAAAGGGAAAAAACACAGAAATGTGAAAATGAAGAGAAAGAATTGAATGAAATGTGCTGTGGATTTCAATCTTTTGTTATTGGTGAGATGTCCTCTGCCAGTTTTGGTTGCATCATGAGATTTTTGTCCATATGCTTATCTTATCCTGTACCTTCATACTTCTATGACAATCCACTTGAATTAAAACATGCAAATTCTAAAAACTAAAACCATTTATCAAGTTAAGAAAACCGACTTTTCTGACAAATAGATAATAATTTAGTGTTGGTGCGTGCCTTGTCCTTTTGAAATATAAAATGTATCTAAATGTAAACCCCACTAATTAAGTGAGGACGTGTATAAACGCATTACCGTTAGATATTTTTGAGGATTTCAGGGGAATACCTAAAGGAAAATGTATAAAAGCAACTGTAAACTTCAGACTCCACTTATCCAGACATCCATCCTGCCAACCATTGACTAGTAGGGTCCCACGTACAGGTCAGCTGTCCATCACAGGGCCACATATTCACACCTGCAGGAAATCACTCCTGCAGGACAGAGAGAACTCACGCTTTCATGGGGAGAGCGAGGGAACTTAACACAGAAAGGTCCCCTAGGATTCAGAATGAAAACTCTAGCCGCGAAACAACAATTCTGAACACAAATTCAATACAAGTCTATTTAGCAAAGGTCAGTGTTTATGAGCTCACTATCACAGCAATGATAGATTGGTGTGCATCTTAACAGTGAGATAAAACTGAATGCTCTTCAAATTGTTTTTGCTTTTTTGGATGAATGTGCTGCTATTAGATGAAAAATGAATATAAAGTGTGTTTGAGCCCCTGTGCTCGAATGTCTTGCCAGCCAGCAGCTAAATATCTCAGTTGTCCCGCCCCACACCTGTCTTTTTCTTTGCTGTTAAAGTATATGTGGAAAATCTGCTCGGATCATCATGGAGTCATACAGAGGTTGGCTCTGGTGATAGGCAGCCTGTCATGCTTTTGATGAAACCTCGCCCCTCTCTATGATTATCACAGACAGATATAGTCCTCTTGGTAATGCTCTCATGTTACTAACAGATCTCCATTTCAAGTTCCAGAATGTTGGATGACTGAACGCTGACCCTGGGTCAGCTCATAGGAAAATCAATGTCCAGTCATGCTGCAACATGTGCAAGGCATCCATGATAAGCTTAGACTTCGACACAAACTTGTTAAAGTTGAGGCCTTTGTGGCTGTATTTTCATTTTCTTTATTAATACCCAACTTGTGAGAAAGCCTGCACTCAAACACAAATGAGTGGCAAAAATCAGAGGCTTCAGAGAGATTTGTGGGTGAGTGTGGAGGCTCAGATGCAGCTGGCAGGTGGAGGGAGAGTGGTATCAGTCAAAAGGAGGGAAAAGAAAAAAGAAAGTCAAAGTCAATCCATTTGAATCCATGCTAAGACCAAGCAGAGAGCATTTCGGTTTTGCCCAATATGGTATGGAATGCTGAGACACCTCAGCCATGTGAGGTGAAAAGACAAAGTAACTTAATGGGAGTGAGGTTCGGGGGTGGGGTAGGATGGGGAAAAGGGGGGGGGTGGTCTTCGTGAACCATCTTGGTAAGAGATAATAACCAGCTCCTGTTGTTAAAAGAATCTCTGAACACACGTTTGACTTTTATGATTGCAGTGTGTCTTCAAATGTTGCATCAGACACCATCAGAAAATGTCAGCTTTCAGGTGAAACAGAGTTCCAATGTGAAACAAGTGTAGAAATGAATTTCGACTCATTCAAACAAAGCAACTTTTCAGCATTTGATTGGATTTGAAACATATTCAACATTAGAAAAACTATTTCCATTAAAAAAAATGAATTATGTAGTTTTTTGCTGTTGCAATTGCTTCACTAATCTTTTCTAACCTAAATATACCCTGTCCACATTATCAATAAACACCTCTCTTGAGGGAACTGTGTATTTAACGGCACTTTGTGGTGAACTGCAAATTCTCCTGAAGCAAACGAGGCAGAAAAACAAGAGCGCAATCCTTTAGCTCCATCTATTGGTACAACTGAATTTAAGCCCGTTTTCTCTGGTGGCAGCCGATTGTCATTATAATGAAAATGTGAGCGAGATTTTCCTGCTCACCTCTGTGTCATCAGCCTCATAGCAGACGTGTCTATGCCGGTAGTTTGAAGCAAAGGTCAGCAGCGCCGCATCTTCAAACAGGTTCTGATTTTCATCCCTCCACCATCTTTCACCAACTGCACATATAAAACATTCAAGCATTCACTTGTACTGTTTCTGTTGATCAAATATATCCATCAAAACTTGTCTGAGGTTTGATGTCTTCCTTATCAGTAAAGGAAAAAAAATCACAGATGGTTAACAGTTTCACAGATGAAAGAATGGCAGGGAGGTTAAAGAATAAGGAAGGCTTTGAATGGGCAGCTTTTAACTTAATCAATAAAGGAGATGGAGGTAGTTTAATGGAACATCTATTTACAGTTTCCATAGTACTAAGAGGTTTGTGGTCATTGTTAGTCATTGATGATGAATCTATCCATTGTCTATACTGTTTATCCTTAGAGGCTTCTCAGGGGAGCTAGATGCTATCCCAGCTTGCATTGGATGAGAGGAGATGTGCAACCTGGACAAATTGCCAATCCATCACAGGGCAACGCAGACAAATAATCACACACATACAAACACTCCAACAGGCAATTCAAAGTCTTCAGCTAACCTAACATGCATGTTTTTGGACTATGAAAGGAAATTGTTGTGCACAGAAAGAACCCATGCATACATGGGGACAACATGCAAAGAAATGAAACGTTCTGCCATATTCATCATGTCTGTTTTCAAAATATCAGCAAGTCATAGCCTGTTGAACAATCTCTAGAATATATTAAAAAATAAAACTAGAAGGTCCCATTAAAGCGCTTAGTGCTGTGGATATGAATATATTCAAATCAATGCTGGGGTCTGTATGTTACCCCATTCGTGTCATAACTGTAACTTGAACTGAAGAAAAGTACAACAAAAAAAGGTGTGTCAGTGTCCAAATACATTTCAAGTATAAGTTCTTGAATATTATGAAATCTGTAATTACCTAAATTATATGCAACAAAACAGAAAATAGGTTTCCTGTGATGAAGCTGTTGAAATGGAAACATTGCTCCGGAAATAATTAGAGGTGTGGTCATTTTATTTCCTTATGTTTAAGATTAAACTAAACTAAAAATAAAAATTGAAACATCACCTTTGTGAGAGCTGTTGCTGTTGGACAGGTGTCTTGAGTTTGGGGACTCAGAAAGGGTTTCTAATGTGTGCTCCATGTTCCCCTCCTGTTTGCAAATAGGATAATGATTCAGAGAATATGATTAAATCACAAATATCGGCAAAAGATTAAATTAATCATTTCTGTGGCACAAAGTCCAAATGTGATCCATGAATAAATCTCTCTCGGTGACCTCATCCATTTTGCTCCATTTCCGTTTGATCTCTGTTGTTTCCGTGGGCCCTGTCAGACAAGCTTTATCTCCGCTGTCATCCGCAAAAGCTCGATGACAGGTCCTTAGATAGGAACTGTCATCCAGAGTGCCTCGTTCTTCCTTCTCTCCAGCTTGATGAGACAGGCTATTGGTCTTCTGGGCCTCTTTCAGGTCTGTAAGAGTCACACCCTGCAGGATGTTCGCAGGATATAGCTCCATGTCTGTCAACAGTCAAATACGATACATAAAAAAACTTCCGCCTGCAAGCCATTTTTGTTTTTACCTGTGTTGACCGCCGTGTCTGTCTGGCATGACGAGACTTTGCCTTCCTCTGAGATTCTGCCTCATCATCTCTGACTGGAGTCAGATACGATCTAGAACTTATGATATTTTCATTTAAAAGAGGTTTATGAAACCATGTGTGATTACAGTTCTTCACAAACACTCGCGTGGGTCCATCTGATGATAGCATTTCTAATTGAACTTTTTAATTTACCAAGATATCCCACTTTAACACTAGTATACACAGCATTTGGAAAGCAAAACATTCTGAAGAGATGCAGGCATATTGTCTGCCAGTGGCTTCACAAACACAGATAAAGAGCTGAATAGGCAGCAGTGGAGAGGCTCCTGTTTACCTCTAGAGCTGATAGCCCCTGCTACACTTTTACTGGTATTGATCTTTCGGAAGGGGAGTCAACCTTAGCCCTGACAGGCCTTTAACGGGCTGGTCAGCACCATACTCTGTTCTGCGGTGTGTGCATGTAGTTTGAAATCTCAGTCCACAAATGTACAATGAGAGGCTTACAGAAATAAAATAAAAGCAACAATGTTCCAAAAAACTAAAACAGCTGATTAAAACTAGTTTGAGTTTTCTCTACCATCTTCAACAAAGATTAAAACCCAATACTGAAAGCTGTCCCTTCTAAATCTTCATTAGGTTGCTCAAAGTAGTTTTCCGTAAATGCCGGCTAATGCTCGTAATCATAAAGTACATTTAGAGATTAAATTAGAAGAAGATTGATAAGTGCAATTCTAAAACCTTTAGTAGCCGTGCCCAGCATTGTTTCTCTACATAAAGATGATACAGATGAAGGCCCAGAGATTTGCTGCAATAATACCACATGCTTCTGAAATTCTATAAACAATATTGCTGAGATAAGGATCCAGGAACAGAGCAGCGTGACTCAGGTCGTCTGAAGCTTACCTTGGAGCAAATGCTTGCATGTTTCCCGTGGAAGGTCAGACACAGAGACACTGCTGCAGTGATGAGAGGGAGAGGCTGGAGAAACGGACTGCTGCAGGCTAGAGAGGAGAGAGGGGAGAGGGAGACATACTTCCTGTTGGATGATGTATACACAATCAATTTAGACTCTGCCTACAAGAGGCTGATGCAGGCAAGTCTGCAAAGACCTCAGTGGAGCACGTGAGCCACAGCCTCTAAGGTTTTATGTGAATAATACATGATAGGACAAAAACAGTCATTTGACTCTGAGTCTGCAGCGTTCAGTTAACAACTCCTTGGACTGCTTGGATAAAATTGTTAATATGATAATCATCAAGCTAACCCTAACCCAAAGCAATACATATTTTCTAATATATATCAATATGGTGCAACATTTATTTTTCAAAGCACTTTCAATTAATAAAAGGTAGATATTTTTCATGATTATATATGATATAAATATCATGGAATGTAAATTTACTTTAAATTTCTGAGTTAAATGAGCTGAAGATATTTTTACAGCAATGAAACACACAGGAGTGTTTGGTTGTGTCAAAAAAGAATGGCTCCTTGTACTCCTGAGCAAACCTGGGGTATTAAGTGTGATGTAAGACTGTGCACACCTAAGAAGAAAAGGAAGCTGGTGAGGCACACAAACATCGTACATATTGGACACTCAAGGAAAGAAGGGAATAAGGTTGCACGGTCTGATGAGTCCATACTGATCCAGTTCCAAAGCAAAGCCCCTCCAGCGTAAGTGGGCGAGTTGTGGAGGAAGACCTCTATCCATCATTGCTGGTGCTCGCCAAACAAGCCTGAGGGTTTGTCATTATGATCTGTGTTTGCATCACTTGAAACGGGTCGAGGTCCAGCAATTGACCCAATAGTAAAGTGAACCCATTTCCTTAACGGTCATAAAAAACAATAGGTTTCTCTCCGCCCCAGATCTATGGGCATGTTTAAAAAAAAAAAAAACAATCCCAAGACTCATGGGGAATTGTGGAAGAATGGTTCAGGATCATTTTTAACAGGTGCATTTGCCACCATGGAGTCAAGACCATTAATTGAGTGAGAATTAATAGTTTGAACGCAGGGGACAAGACTTTTTACAGTGCAATGTCAACACAATTTCTTGGAGAACAATAGAATGAAAGTTCCTTTTGATGAAAAAGATAATTTAATTGAAGCCATAATGAATGCTGCTCTTTATTGTTTTTTTCTGTTTTGGTCATTCAAATGAATGCTAGATCACTCCATCTATAAATCACCTAAAAAAAAGCATGAATTGTGACCAAAGTGCTGCAGAAAAAAATGTAAACGTTAAGGAAGAATCAGCAAAAAAACACAAGATAAGATGGAGACAAAATTATGATATAGGAGTCCAAGAGCAAGATGGTTGATATGGATACAGGAGTTCTGACAAATAAAACGGGACAACCCCATTAACATAATCAAAAACAACAAAAAGAAACTTAAGATAAATGAACATTTTAATTGGAAGCAGGTGAAGGGATATTGAAAGTGAAGTAATGTAATGCTCTTCATTGTACCTGTTACAAAAAAAAAAGTCTGTAGCATTTTTTGCAAAAACATTTGAGGCCCGACTGATCCCAAACAGGAGCAGATCATAGTGATCGTGTCTGGAAGATAAAAAAGCATAGATCACTGTTCCAAGGTTTTTTGTTTATGGAATCCCTTGTTGAACATCAAGTGTGCTGGAAATTTTAATAAACTCTATTTGAAACATTGGAATTCCTAAGATATTCACCAGGGCTACAGAATTGTCTGAAGCAGCAAGTTCTTAAAATGTTCCACATGTTTTTAATGAAAAGAAAAGCAAGAGCTTTGTGTACAAAGTTTGATACATTCTGGGATTTCAGAGTTCACAAGAGTGAATATTGAATGCTTTCCTAATATCCACATATTCTCCCTTAATAAGTAATCCACTGGCAGAAAGTTCTATAATCTTAAACTTGTATGTTGGAGTCTGTGGGGATGACCTGTTGCTCACATTTGGGGATTTATTTGTCAATAAAAGTGCATATTTTCTAACCTTCTGCTATTTCTGAGTAAGCTTCTCCATCTGCTATACGAGTAACGTCATGAAATAAATGTCTTACCCAGACATCTAATTTTCTTTGTAGATACAGCCTAAAGATTAGAAAATATGCCTCACCAGTAAAATTTACTTAAGTGTTTTATCATTAGCCAGAATGAATGTGATGCTGGAACACAGATTTCATTATAAAAAGGGAAAGAATCCAGGTTTATTTGAGACAGGAGAAATGTTATACTGACAGTAAGGTTTCAGCAAAAAAATCACATTTACAGTATATGATGACATATTGGCCTCATCACGTTCCTTTCTGTGTGACAGACTCAACATATATTCATGTTTTGCTTGACATTTCACATTAGTAATCTTCACAGCATCTCAGGGGATTTCTTCTGGTATGAACAGATCATTCAGCTTTTTGTTCCACTAGTATACATGTTTACAAAGGTTAAGACACACACTTTGCTCCTTCCTCAGATCTCGACCATCTGCTTTTGTTTGACCCACGATTGCAGTTCCTGCTACAAATCACTTGTGCGCGACCTGAAATCTGCAATGATTCTTCAGTTTGACCCACATGCTGAACCTGAAGAGCTACTGATGTTAGCACTGACCTCGCATGACAACGTCATACTGACAAATAATTTTTTTTTTTTTTTGCCTACAATATAAGTACATTGATGTTTTTTAATTGTGAACATTTAATTTCAGATTGCATTTGTAAAGGAACTAAATGGCAGTTGAGCTCTGCGATATTTCTTCTCAATGTGGAAGAACAATTTGTCCCTGAGGTGCTTTTTACTATTTGAAAGTTGCAATAGTTTTTCTTTTGAGGTTAATAGATGAAAGACTAATTTATCAATAATCCACCAAAGTTAAATCATGTGCATGTGTGTATAAAGTTTTAGAATTCAGACAGAGAAACCAAACAGTTGTTTGTGGAGGATTCCAGCATTTGCAGCTGGCTATCTCATGATACTGCAGATACATTCTGCCTGGCTGGAATTGTCAGTAAAAAAAAAAAAAAAAAAAAATCCATCTCCTTTTTCTGCTAGCTTTATAGATTGGACGATCCACCAGTGTAAACTTCTGGGGATAACCGAGTCATTTGAACTGCACCCCCACGCCATCTTCAGTAACAAAAAACTAAGTCTTACAAAAAAACAAAAAACAAAAAAAATGTCATCAAGACAGACATGGCTTATGGCTCCAGATGCACTTATGAAAAGTTCATTATTGGCTTCTTATGTCTTATGGCTTCTTTAATTTTCCTGTTTGGTGCAGAACCTGGTTTGATGAAACAGTGAGATTGCTAAAGAGTGGAAATTCTCTGCAGAAAGACAGTCATTGTTGTTCATGGCTTAAGGCTTTTGAGGTTGTTATTAACAGGTAAACCTTTCAATGATTCGTTGACTCACTTATTTTGAGGTACAAAGACTCCAGCATAATGATTTCCATTTTCTGATTAGCTCTGCCTTTCAGAGAAGGATCACATACCTAAAAAACAAAACAAAAAAAAACAGCAAACAACATTGCCTCCCTACAGTATCTGTCCTGTTGTAGTGGCATTAGTTTGAGACAGTTCCCAATCCTTCTTCTCAAGCCTGAAGAAAGTTCTCATTGTGGTGGCGTGTTCTCTGCAAAGCATCAAATGAAAGAAGATGTCATGAGGAGACATAATTATAAATGCACACTTATTTATAGCACATTGAGCGATGTTAAACTTTTCTTACAATCGTCTTCTGATAAGGCATCATCCTCTAATGACTCCTCTTCCTCCTGCGGCTCAACTTCAACTGCTTTGTCCTGTTTTCCTTCTTCCTCCTGATTACCTTGTTCCTCCTCTCCCTCAGATTCCATCACATCTTCAGATTCATCATCGTCATCCTCCTCTTCAGCTGCTGACTCCTCTTCCACTTCTGCATCACCAGCTTCCTTGTTCTCCTCCTCTACAGTTTGTTCCTCCCCTTCAGTAGGGGCTGCATCAACGTCTTCCTCTTCTGGAATAGGTTCTTGGGCCTTGGAGGGCTCCTGCTCTATGGCAGCTGCTTCTTCATCTTCATCAGCTTCTGTGGACTCTTGAGACGATGCTGCTTCTTGCCCCACAGGAGCTGACTGTTCCGTTTCCACTGCTACCTCCGTAGCTGCTTCACCTGCCTCTTCTTCTACCGTTTCAGCCTCTTCGTTTTCGTTTGTTGGAGCCTCCTCTTCTTCTTCACTCACAGCATCGACCTCGTCCTCCCCTGTTGCAGGAGCTGGATCTTCTGCTTCTCCCTCTCCAGTTGCTACGGTAGTGTCTTCCTCCCTTAGTTCCAGAGGCTCTGCGGGAGGTTGGGTCTCCTCCTCCAGCTAATACAAGAAAGGCAGAAATAGGTCAGAGTAAATTGGATTTTCAGCAGCATAACCTGTAATCATTTGGACATCAGGTACAACAATCAATTAAATGCAAGTTAAATGATAATGCAAAACTGGGTCAATGCTATATGAATTTACACCATAGTTGCAGTTCTGTGAGAAGCAATTTGCTCTCACCTTCTAGTTAATGACATGCAAATCTCATTAAGGCTCCCCATGGGGCACACAGTGCACAGAAATAGTAAAGGGACCATGTGCGCTGACAGCATGTGCACGACTCGGGCTTGTTCTACTATCATAGCTGACATTTGACGACACACACCTGCTTCTAAAACTGCCAATTTGGGATAAATATTCTTCAAAAGTCCTTCCTACAGGCTCGGGCAGGTTGCATGTAAAAGTCGCAAGCTGTCGTGGACATGCGTCAACGCCCAAGGAGGCCATGATTAGTGAACAAAGATTAACTTTAGGAATGCACTGGAGCAGGGTGAATACTGAACAGGCTCATCAGGTCACACGCGGTTGCCTTGTGTGCTGGTTACCCAAGTAACCTGCTTCTGTATGTTCTCCAGCTGAGCACTGAGTTCAGAGTGTAGACTCTGGACTGCTGAGGCGTGATCCTGAAGGCTCTTGCGTACCGTGTTTAGCTCCTCCCCTACACTGGCCTGCTGGAGCTGCCGGGACCGTTCATTCTTAATCAACTCCCTGAAAGACAGAACACTTACTGAGTTTTGTTTCCCTTTCTTTAGATTTTTGTCAGATAACAAATCATTAGCAAGATGATCCTCATCTTCCAGATAAAAATACACAATTGGTCTGTTGTGTTGCCTTTAAAAAATAAATTTTCTGATGTTTAAATGAGCTCCAAAGAGAGTCCACTTTATAGATAAAAGACATTGAGAGCAAACCCATCTGCTTCAGAACTCATTAACACAAAGGATATATTTACACAGACCAGTGCAATCAGTTAGTCAGTGAGGCTGAACAACACTGGCTTAGAACAACAAAGTTAAGCAGACAGTGGCAGCCAACAGGGCTTTGACTGAGTCAACATAAAGTTATGGTTCAGAGGAGGGGAGCTATTTTGTCAACGGCTCCAAAGCGGAGCCTTATTTTCCCATCAGCTACCTGACTGTAGCCATCTCCAGTATGCTGGCCTCCAGCTGGGTCTGGTATTCGTGCAGCTTATCCTTCAGTCCGAGCACCTCGGTGGCCTGACCATCTAGTGTGGCGCCCAGGTTGGCAATCTGATCGATTTCCCCCTCCAGCATGGAGTCCGTCTCTCCCAGGCTCCCGGTCAGAGCCTCAACCTTCTGGGACAGCTCGCCGTTATGCGTGGCCAAATCCTCCACCTGAGTCCTGACCACCTCGAACTCCTCGCTCTTCTCCTTCAGCATGCTCTGCAGCCGGCCGAGCTGCTCCACGGACACCGTGGCCTGCTGCACCTCGGCCAGGCGGGCTTTCATCTCGGTGTGGAGGGACAGAACCTGAGTGGGGAGGTCAGATGTCTTGAGCTGCTCAGCTGCGGCCAAGGCGATCCCCACTTGCTTCTGTGTCAGAGTGTAAGACTCCTCCAGGGCAGCCAGACGGGTCTCTATGCTCTCTGGCACGTGCTCCTGCAAAGGGACACAGGAGAGTGGTGTGAAGTCAAACTGAACAGTTGGCGTTCTCAATATTCAGTTCATCTGTATCTTATTACCACAAAACCAATTGAGAGCGTACATTGAATAAATAGAGCAGTTTAGATATCTGGGGCTAAACACCATTCACTCATTGAAAACCAGATCAATTTATGCTAAACTGGACTGTGCTGTAATTCTGCACGTTTCATTACAACATACCCGGGCGTGCATAGATCACTGCTCCATCCCCAGACTCAATTTCATGAGTCACCAACAGCTTGGTGATTAGTCAGGAAATAATTGCTCAACAAGACTGAGCTAGCAGAAAAGCTCTTGTGCAAAACTTTGACCACAATGACTATTCTGAGATGAAAGGAATGGCAGTTGATTACGTTAGGTTCACTGTTCAAAAACAAACTTATCTCGCGAGATTCCTCCGAAACTTTAAAATGGAATGCTATTGATTTCTCAAGCCTGGTAGAAGTCCAGTGGAATACAGCTGAGGTCAGTCATGACAGCAGCCTCTGTTCATTCACATTGATGGACTGTAACTTCTGTTTAAGGTATTTAAGCTGTTTAAGAACCATCAGCTTCTGTTCTCCAATCTTCAGAAGGCCTGCACACAGCCTCTGAACTGGTGTTTGGTGTCAGAAACCAGACTATATATAGCCTTGGCACGTCACTGTCTTATTTATGATTATTTTTAGCAGCAGCTCCTGCACACCACATAGATTGTGTGTCTTACTGGGTTTAAATTCTTTTTTTTTTTTTTAAACAACTAAAAAATAAAAACGTATCCCTTGTGGTGGGGAACCTTGCCAATTAAAAGATTTAAAGAGTCAAAGCTCAAGTAAGTCCTCCTGTAGGATTAAGACAAAACCTCTTTACAAACGTGAGCAGCTGTGCGCACACGTTAGAAATAGCAGCGTTTGGTGTTCGCTGCAGGGAAGTGCCTGGAACCTCGAAACTCGAGAGAGGCCTGCAGCTATTGAACTTCCTAACTACTATTTGCATGGGTTATTGGATAAGTAATGGATTGGCGGAGTTATAGTGTACAGCTCATTCATTTAACAGGCTACCAGGCCAGTCTGCTCCTCCTCCAGCCTCCGCAGAGCTCCTGCTCTCACGGGGAACGCCGCCCGATAAAGTCCTTACCTTACTTTTAGACAGACGCATTTCTTCATGGTAGGTCTGCAGTCTACCTATCTTCACCTGGACGCCCATCAGGTTGTCCGTCAGGTAGGATAAAGTTTGGTGCTGCTGGAAACAGAACCACGCGCACGCGGCGCCGCCTAATAAAATGATCAAGTTTAAAAGCAGCAGCAGGGAGTAGTTATTATTATTCCCCCCTGCGCGCACTTCTGTCTCCATAACTTCGTTTTTGAAAAAGTTGTCATCCTGTTTGTGGTTGCTTTTGCCTTTCCGATGCTTGGCCGTCATTTTGTTCCGAGCGAGGACACAGTGTTCCAGTTGGGCAGAGAGGTGATATCCGAAGAGCCTGCGGGTTTAGAGAGACTGCGCGGAGGCAAGAGAGAGCTCATTAACTTCAGATGGCTCCTTTAGGTGCCGCTGCGCGCTGGCCTGGATTAAAGCACCTCCGGGAGCAACGGCAAGAGCCTGCGAGGCTGCGGCTTGCCGTCGATGAAGAGAAAAGGAGGCGTGTATCGTAGGAACTGTGTTTTGCTCCCTTCCCTAGGAGCTGAGGGAGTGGGGGGGGGGGTCAGGGAGTGGCTGACGCCCCCTCCCCCTGCCATGCGCGCTGATGGCCCTGCGTGTCCGGCCGGGGCCGGAGCTTTACGCGCCGCGACCGGTCACTCCAGCCCAAAGGTGCACCGAGGCACTCCAGAGCTCACTGACCAGACCTGACGAAATGAATTCAACTAAATGAAATCAATTGTATCTTTTAAGTGTCTGATCTGTCTCATTGGGGGGGGACATGTTTCATTCAAAGGTCAATAAATCAAGTTCTTTTAATAATTATTATTACTATGATTTTTATTATTTAGTTTTTTTGCTTCAACGATGTCTTTGTTTATTATATCACACTCTTTTTCCACCCAGTTTTTCTCAACAATAAACATATATTTTTTATGGTGTGGGGAGTAATAGTTCCCGTGCCTTGAGCAACAATAGAAAATAACATAGTTTGCTGTCTTCTTCAAACATTTTTCCAGGAAAACTTTGGAAAAGTTTGACTGACAAGAAATTCTAATATTAATTGAACAATACATTAGGTTTTAAACCATTTAAACATATACATTTCTTCCTGTAGTTTATTTAAATATTTGGTGGTATTCCTTTTTTTTTTTACATTTGCTACTTTACTTTCAACCACTTGCATACTTTTTACTCCACAGCATTTATGTGCCAGAATTATGTGAAAAAGCAGCAGTGCTTTGCAACATCACATAACAATGGAAGTGTATATATTAACATTACAATTTTCCAGATATTAAGATCTGGAAATCTTTAGATCTGTTTGGCTTAGTTGTCTTTAGGTTTTCATCAAGCACCATGTACCAAGTCCCAGTTTTGCCTGTACTGTCATGAACCACTTACTGCCATATGTCAGCCATGAACCTTTCTGCATGATAAAGTATTATACGGTTAAATGTGATGCCATCTGTCCAACATTTAATGCTTGGTCGAAACTGGTCATGCAACAGGACAATGATCCCAAACACAGCAAATCTAAACAAATTCCTAAACAGGAATGCAGCATTTTAATAGTGAAACGTCCAGTTAATTTCCATACAAGAATCCACTCAATGAACAATAGCCCCCCCCATCTGCATTGATCATCAGGTCACGGAGAGCTAATCTTTAAACATAGACGTCTCCCGTTTCTTCATTCTGTACATGGGAGGAGAGAAAGCCTTTTTAATCAATGCTCAATCATTTTTCTGCTTTTAAACATAAGCCACAGTTCCCTCTCACCTCTCACTCTGAGCACAGTGGAGCATTCAGCTCGTCCTAAACTGTTTTCTGCAACGACAGTGTACTCTCCGCTGTCTTTGGGACCCACACAGAGGATTCGCATGGAGCACACGCCGACGGTATTGTAGATGTAGTAGTTGGCATCGGTGTTTATACTGATGTGATTTCGATACCATGTGATTCGGGGTGTGGGGTTTCCCTTCACTGCGCAGCTCATGTGGCATTCATACCCCTTGGGGGCAGTGTGAAGCTTCAAAGGTACCATGAAGGATGGAGCACATTGTAAATCACAGTGTTTGCTTGTTGGTTCACGTGAAACAAGTTTTTCTGTAAAAGAGGGCATAAAATATTAGTTTAGCATTTATTATGGACGATTGACTAATTTGGGATATTGTCAAATATTCACACACCTTTCTTCTTCTCTATTCCCCATGTTGGTGACAACGAGGGTTCGGATATGCCAATGTCATTTTTGGCATACACACGGAAATGGTATTCCCTCCCATGCATTAAGTTGCAAATGGTGAACCTGTTATTGAAAAGCCTGTCAGCCACCATGGTCCATGTGTGCTTAGTAGAGTCCAGTTTGGACACGGTGTAGTGGAGACGATCATCACGCTTTTCATCTGGAGAAGGTTCCCAGATCACGGTTACTGTGCCAGGAACGTTTTCTTCCAATGCCACTGCTCCGGGAGGCTTTGGATCATCTGTACATTTACAATAGAGTTTTACCATTCTGCCCTGAACAGTACATTTTTACTTGCATAGCAAAATAAAGTCTAATTTTTCATTTTTACCTGTAACCCTAACATCTGTATTGAATGTTTCCTGTCCTGCAACATTTTTCACTAAAACGGAGTAGATGCCTGAATCGGAGTGCTCGGAGCATGGTATCAACAGCTGGGTTGATCCATCAGAGTTGCTGATGGTAACACGCTTGAAAACTGGCACATTGTCCTTTAACCACATTATTTCTGGCTGTGGAGAAGCCTTCATAACATAATACACAGAGTAAGCACAAATTAGCATTATTCAGAATCAAAACCGATAATCTGAATGAATCCACAGCCTGCCTGTGAATGTAGTCAGCACCAATCTTACCTCAAAGTTCACGGTGATCCTGACAGAGTTTCCAGCCCTCACCACCATGAAACTCTTCATCTTGTTTTTTGTAAACTTTGGCCTGACTGTATGAATGAAAAAAGTATGCATTGCTGTACATCAAATTCAAGACTGAAATAGTGAAATTGTATAAAAGGGTCCAAGGTTGTAACTATCTAGAAAACATATAATAGATTCAACAAGCTCTTGACATACCAGCTGAAGGCATTGCGACGACATATTTTGGCAGCTCCTCGGGGGGACTCTCTCCTCCATCATTTGTAGCAATCACTCTCACCCAGTACATGTCCATGGACTTAAGGCCTCTGACGTTGAAGGAGGTCGTGACAATGGAGGTGCTGTTACAGCGGTACCATTCAATGCAATCTGTCTGCCTAATCTCAACAAAATATCCTTTAGCCTCATCTTGGAAACCAGGTTTCTCCTCGGGTTTAATCCAAGTCAGGATTATGTTGGTGTAAGACGTTTCTGTCACTTTCAGGCCTGTGACTTTACCAGGAGGCTCTGGAGTAATACAATAATCAGTTAGACAAACAGGGATTTTACCAGTGTACCTTGATTAAGGTGATAGTTTTAAAAGTGATAAATCTTTTTTCATTTTATTTATTCATTTTCAAATAAATAAAAGGGATACATTTGGGATAAATGTTCTCTGTCTTTGAGATGGTTGTTATCCTACCTAAACAACAAAAAAAGGACTTGAAATTCTTACTCTTCGGGTCCCGTGCGAATTCAAACTCTGAGGCGTTGCTAAATTCCCCAGTTCCCGAGAGGTTTATGGCAGAAACTCTGAATTCATATTCTATGCCTTCCACAACATCCCTCACTGAATATGTTCTCTCTGTAAAAAGGTTGTTTTGGAGAGACATAAACAGGTAAAAACAAACATATTAAAGTCGACAGACATTATAATGTTAGCTGCAAAATACTTGGATATACCTTTAATTGGATCAACGGTATTGACAACAGTCCAGAGGTTACTTCCCCTCTTCCTCTTCTCCAGGACATAGCCCAGGATTCGTGAACCCCCAGTGTTACTGGGCGGAGCCCAGGAAAGGGTTATGCAGTCACTAAAAGCGCTGACCACCTTCGGCGGCAACGGAGGACCAGGTAATGCTGACATAGAAAAGAAGAAAAATAAAGCTGTTTTCTTTCCCGAGGAACTCCTCTTCACTTCAGAAATTCAGGTAAATAGTGGTGTTGGAGTCGTATCATCAGAAAGCAATATCTATGACATATTTATTTTATTTGATATTTTTAAAGTTTTGTATGAACTTTTCCAAATATATATATATTGGCGCTCATGAATGCATATTGGCAAGGACAGAGAAACTTCATTTTCTGTTGTGAAAGCCACTGTTTGTTTGTTTTTTTCGTTTGGCTCACTACCAGTTAGCTAATGAACGTGAGTGGAAACACCTGCGCGTGGACACGCCTTGTTAATGATCCAGTTCAACTCCATCATTTAGCTCTTTGCGGAAGTTTGGATAAAGATATATCTACATATTTGCGCTTTTCCCCTCCGTAACTTTCAATCCACCAGCCAAAGTCTTAATGGACAATTGGCATTCCTCCCAGGGTTTGGGGACGTTTGCTGTGGAAAGACGCCAACGTTTGTTGGCACTGCTCTTGGAAATGACATAAATTACGAAAATATACTTTCAATAGAGGTAACGAGAATCTGTTAACATAAAAAAGTATGCCGTGTTAGGGCTGTACTGTTTCATAATCTTGAAAGGTGGTCGTTTAAGTAAACAAAAACGCGGAAATTGCGTCGACATTTATTTATTTATTTATTCAATCAATCAATCAATCATTCAACCATTCATTGCTGTAGTTCTGTGACAAATTATTGATCTGTTCACGCTTTATTTAAGGAGAAGCTCCAGTCTGGTTTACTGTTATGCAGTCAATGCTTTTATGGCTCAGTGGTGTTAAATCTTTGTCGTAATTTGCAGCTTCTAATATTAAAATGTCACCAATCTATGCACTAGTTATTTATAAACCATCCATCCATCCATCCATCCATCCATTATCCACCGCTTATCCGGGGTCGGGTCGCGGGGGCAGCAGCCGGAGCAGGGAAACCCAGACTTCCCTCTCCCCGGCCACTTCAGCCAGCTCCTCCGGGGGGATCCCGAGGCGTTCCCAGGCCAGCCGGGACACATAGTCCCTCCAGCGGGTCCTGGGTCTTCCTCTGGGCCTTCTTCCGGTGGGACGAGCCCGGAACACCTCCCCAGGGAGGCGACCAGGAGGCATCCTAAACAGATGCCCGAGCCACCTCAACTGGCTCCTCTCCACGTGGAGGAGCAGCGGCTCTACTCCGAGCCCCTCCCGGATGGCCGAGCTTCTCACCCTATCTCTAAGGGAGAGCCCAGCCACCCTGCGGAGGAAACTCATTTCGGCCGCTTGTATCCGCGATCTCGTTCTTTCAGTCACTACCCAAAGTTCGTGACCATAGACAAGGGTGGGAACGTAGATCGACCGATAAATTGAGAGCTTCGCTTTTAGGCTCAGCTCTCTCTTCATCACGACAGACCGGTACAGCGCCCGCATTACTGCAGACGCCGCACCGATCCGCCTATCGATCTCACGCTCCCTACCCCCATTCGCGAACAAGACCCCGAGATACTTGAACTCCTCCACTTGGGGGAGGACGTCCGCTCCGACCCGGAGAAGGCACTCTACCCTTTTCCGGTGAGAGACCATGGTCTCGGACTTGGAGGCACTGATCCTCATCCCAGCCGCTTCGCACTCGGTTGCGAACCGCTCCAGTGAGAGCTGTAGGTCCCGACTTGATGGAGCCAACAGGACCACATCATCTGCAAAAAGCAGAGATGCGATCCTAAGGCCACCAAGACTGACACCCTCAACACCTCGGCTGCACCTAGAAATCCTGTCCATAAAAGTTATGAACAGGACCGGAGACATAGGGCAACCTTGGCGGAGTCCAACTCCCACCGGAAACGGATCCGACTTACTACCGGCAATGCGAACCAGACTCTGACTCCGGTCGTACAGGGGCCGAACAGCCCGTAACAAAGGGCCAGGTACCCCATACTCCCGGAGCACCCCCCACAGGATACCTCGAGGGACACGGTCGAACGCCTTCTCCAAGTCCACAAAACACATGTGGACTGGTTGGGCGAACTCCCATGCACCCTCCAGGACCCCGCTGAGGGTATAGAGCTGGTCCAGCGTTCCACGGCCAGGACGAAAACCACACTGTTCCTCCTCGATCCGAGACTCGACTATCCGACGGACCCTCCTCTCCAGAACCGCTGAATAGACTTTCCCAGGGAGGCTTAAGAGTGTGATCCCCCTGTAGTTGGAACACACCCTTCGGTCCCCCTTTTTAAATAGGGGGACCACCACCCCAGTCTGCCAATCCAGCGGGACTGCCCCTGATGTCCACGCGATGTTGCAGAGTCGCGTTAGCCAACACAGCCCCACAACATCCAAAGCCTTAAGGAACTCCGGGCGGATCTCATCCACCCCCGGAGCCCTGCCACCGCGGAGCTTTTTGACTACCTCGGTGACTTCAGCCCCGGAGATTAGAGATCCTAACTCCGGATCCCCAGGCTCTGCCCCTCCAAAGGAGGACACGCCAGTGGGATTGAGGAGGTCCTCGAAGTACTCCGCCCACCGACCCACAACGTCACGAGTTGAGGTCAACAGCACCCCATCCCCACTGTAAACAGTGTTGGTGGGGCACTGCTTCCCCCCCCTGAGACGCCGGATGGTGGACCAGAATCGCCTCGAGGCCATACGGAAGTCTTTTTCCATGGCCTCCCCAAACTCCTCCCACGCCCGAGTTTTTGCCTCGGCGACCACCCGAGCCGCATGTCGCTTGGACTGCCGGTACCCATCGGCTGCCTCCGGAGTCCCACAGGCCAAAAAGGCCCGATAGGACTCCTTCTTCAGCCTGACGGCATCCCTCACCGCCGGTGTCCACCAGCGGGTTCGAGGGTTGCCGCCACGACAGGCACCGACAGCCCTGCGACCGCAGCTCCGGGAGGCCGCGTCATCGATGGAGGCACGGAACACGGCCCACTCGGACTCAATGTCCCCCGCCTCCCTCGGAACGTGCTTGAAGCTCTCCCGGAGGTGGGAGTTAAAGCTCCGCCTAACAGGGGACTCCGCCAGGCGCTCCCAGCAGACCCTCACAACACGTTTGGGCCTCCCGGGTCTCACCGGCATCCTCCCCCACCATCGGAGCCAACTCACCACCAGGTAGTGGTCAGTGGAAAGCTCCGCCCCCCTCTTGACCCGAGTGTCCAGAACATGCGGCCGCAGATCAGCTGAAACGACAACGAAGTCGATCATTGAACTGCGGCCTAGAGTGTCCTGGTGCCAGGTGCACATATGGACACTCTTATGCCTGAACATGGTGTTCGTTATGGACAATCCGTGCCGAGCACAGAAGTCCAAAAACAGAACACCGCTCGGGTTCAAGCTGGGGGGGCCATTCCTCCCAACCACGCCCCTCCAGGTCTCACTGTCGTTGCCCACGTGAGCGTTGAAGTCCCCCAGCAAAACGAGGGAGTCCCCAGGGGGGGCACCCTCCAGTACCCCCTCTAAGGACTCCAAAAAGGGTGGGTACTCTGTGCTGCCGCTAGGCGCATAGGCACAAACGACAGTCAGGACCCGTCCCCCCACCCGAAGGCGAAGGGATGCTACCCTCTCGCTCACCGGGGTAAACCCCAACGTACAGGCACCGAGATGGGGGGCAATGAGTATGCCCACTCCTGCTCGGCGCCTCTCACCGGGGGCAACTCCAGAGTAGCAGAGCGTCCAACCCCTCTCGAGAAGGCTGGTTCCAGAGCCAGAGCTGTGTGTCGAGGCGAGACCGACTATGTCCAGCCGGAATCTCTCCGCCTCGCACACCAGCTCAGGCTCCTTCCCCGCCAGAGAGGTGACGTTCCACGTCCCTAGAGCCAGCTTCTGCAGCCGGGGATCAGTCCGCCAAGGTCCCCGACTCCGGCTGCCGCCCAGGGCACAACGCACCCGACCCCTATGGCCCGTCCCATGGGTGGTGGGCCCATGGGACGGGGGACCCATGTTGCCTTTTCGGGCTGTGCCCGGCCGGGCCCCATGGGTGAAGGCCCGGCCACCAGGCGCTCGCCATCGTGCCCCGCCCCTGGGCCTGGCTCCAGGGGGGGGCCCCGGTGACCCGCGCCCGGGCGAGGGAACGTTGGATCCAATTTTGTTAGACATCATAGGGGTCTTCTTGGCTGCGCTTCATCTGATCCCTCACCTAGGACCTGTTTGCCTTGGGTGACCCTACCAGGGGCTTGAAACCCCGGACAACATAGCTCCTAGGATCACTGGGACACTCAAACCCCTCCACCACGATAAGGTGGCAGCCAGGGAGGGGTATTTTTTTTATAAACCTTATAATGTTATTTCATAATTAAAACTCCTCTGTTTTCTTTTTAGAAACAATGAGTTTAATTATGCCAATTACATGTAAACCTCCATATAGAGTGGAAACAATTTAATCAGACTTGTGAGAGTTATTTCTGGTTTATTTGTTGCTATAGGTGTCTGCTCAAATCAACAGAAATAATTGGACCAAGATCATGATGTCCCAGAAAAGGAAAACTGGAGTCCTGCACTCTGAACACACATGCTCATTGATGAGAGCCAATTATTTTCCAGCAGAACTTCAAACCGTAAGTCTACAAATCTCTGTTTGCATTATGCTGGTTTGTGAGGATTAACACCTCATGAAAAATCGTAAGGTAAGTGTAGTTGTATGATGTTGAAAGTTTAGAACTTTTTAATGTAAGCATGTTTACCCTGTTATTTGAACAAAAGTGGGGTTATTATTTTTTGGCTGGATGAAAAGGTGGATCAATTTGGACAAACTCATCCCTGCAACTGTAGTGCTTACGTGTTCGCTCACCAAATTTGCCAGCTTGCATTTCATCAGTCTCCATCACGTCACTTGTGCCCTCAGATGTCACAGCTTGGATGCGGTAGCAATATTTCCGTCCACGTTCTACATCCGTGTCGCGGTAACTGGGCGCACCTGGTGTTTCCCCAATTTTTTTCCATGTGTTTCGTCCCACTTGCTGACGCTCCAGTATGTATTGACTCACCGGTGAGCCACCATCATCCTTTGGGGCCCGCCACTTAAATTCAATACTGTTAGCTGAGCTCTCAGTTACTTCTGCAGGACCAAGAGGGGAAGATGGTTTGTCTGAAACATAAATAAATGCTCTATAAGGATATTTGGACAGCTTACAAAACATGATATTGACAACATGTCAAAACATATATTTACATGGATGTTATGCGTAAAGTTTAAACTTAAACTAAGCTCTAATTCCGTCTCAATCACCTACATTGATTTGAGAGTTGCATGTAAAAAAACATGTGCTCAAATCTTTACATGCACAGATGGTGAGTTGAAATTAGGAGCACTGATGGAGCCTCTCCTGATATATGATATTGAAAAAAATAAAAAAAGATATGGAAATGGAGCAATATGGACATGACATTGGGCAACTGTGAGAGTTCTAAAATATTATATGGTGCTCAGTTTTAATTATACAGTTTCACTAAAATCAACTTTTTATAAGCACATCTTGTAAGCATCAATTTAATTGAAAAAGGATGATTAATATCTTTGGCACAGCACATATTTGACATGTTGATCAGCGGTGAGCTCTGTGTTACACATGCTAGTCTTTTCAGTTAAAGAATGTCGCTACATTGTAAGTTTATGACTGAAAGGAAAAAACAAAACAGTCACTTTGAAGTTTTCTGTGTTTGCAATTCACTCACCAAGTACAATAAGGTGTGAGACTGCCTCAGCGAAGCCGTGTTCATTCTTGAGCTTGATTCTAATCTCTCCAGTATCTTTCCTCTGGCACCTGCTCAGAAGCAGGCGGCTGTGACCTGCAGATTTCTCTATTTTTGTATTGCTTTCATCTTGGAGCTCTTCACCTTCTCTGTGCCACTGAATCTTTATGGGTGGACGTCCAACAAATTGCAGTTTGAAAACGGCACTCTGTCCCACTTTAACTGTCATAGGTTCAGTAAAGACATGCAGATGTTCATGGTCAAATCTGGGGGGATCTAAAAATGAAATGTTCCAGTTAGTAATACTTTGATTCTACCATTCTGCAATTTGACACAGTGCCAATAATTTTTCAAACATTGTTTGCTTTCTTACAAAATCTTATACCTTTGACGTTGATCATTGCTTCTGTTTTGCGGCCATCTGCCTCAAATCGGTATTTCCCGGAGTGGAGTTCATCGCACTTCCTAATTACTAATTTGTGGATTGGTCCATCTTTGATAATGTTAAAATTGTCATCTGGGGATATCTAACAAGGCATGGACCAAATGCATGAGAATTAACTTAAGAAGCCATATGAAAGAGAGGAGAAATATTCACAGTGGAAATGTTACAAAGCTCGCAGGACTTCTTGGTTCAGCTGTGTTTTGCATGAAGCCTGATGTATTGTTTTTAGAGAGCAGAGTGATTAATTTTAGCATTCCAAAGATGATATAGTAATGGCATTAGTGCATGTGGGGATAGTTTGTTTGGTTGAATATTTTGTCTCGAGTATTACTTAATGAATTCTTTAATTGAAATTGTGGTTGTGCAGTAAAATGTTCTCCCCCCTTCCTCCAACTATGAACAGTAAGATCTCGAAATGTAACATCAGTCACACTGCACAATTAAATGAAGTCTGTTTGATTTGATGCATTGCATACAAAGAGCCGAAATAGTTTTTCCTATGTTATTAACCCAATTCAAAGTCTAAGAACAAAAGTTTTCTGAATAACTGAGTAATCCACTCCATGTTCCATCCCCAGACTAGTCTGCACAGTTATGCTCAATCCTGGTTGTTCACATACAAAAATTGTAGAGTCTGATGGAAATTGTCACACTTCCAGTTTGCAAACAAGGTTTGGCCAGTGAGTCTTGTGATGTTCTTGAACGGTAAGAAAAAGGTTTAGTTTGACCTACACGACTTACCTTTTTACCATCTCTGAACCAGACCCCTGGACAGTCCTCACAACTGAGCTTACATGTTAACTCGGCGGTCTCATTGACGATGGCGCCAACATCTGACAAACCCCAGATGAACTGAACCCCTGAATCAGAGAAAAGCCAGTGATATTTGTAAAAAATTCTGAATTCATACCCCCAGGAAAAAAAATCTGACTGTGATCTCTTATTTAAACTTTTTAGAGCAAAAATTTAAATGGTGGCTTATTAACACAATATTCATTCTAATATGTATCTAAGAATGGGCATTTAATGCACATTCACACTCATTGATTTACAGTCAATTTGTTAATAAAACTTTTCACAAACAAATGTTGATGCATTTCAGTCTTTGACTCATTTAATTGTAATACTGTAGCTAGTTGATGACTTGCCACTCAGTGAGTCCTCTGTCAATGGGCTTTGCCTTTTATGTCTCGTATTGGTAGAATCACTGACATCCTCAGTCTGATCATACTCGCAGTGGTCTCCAGGAATCACACTTCCATCTTCTAAAATCAAATATGCAGCCTTTCACTCACATTGTGATTTTCATTTGATTTTCACAGGTAAAAAACAATAACTGTTTGTGAGGCTTTTTAAATTCAGACACTAATTACACATGAAAACATGCCATTTTTGTAAAAAGTGAACGCATTACTATAGTCAGGCATACTAACAAAATTATGAATCTATACTTAAACTCCCATATTAGATTATGGAACAAGTTGTTGATCAACGTGAACGGCCTCAGCCAGTTACCTAGCAATTAATCCATGTAACATTTGTAACCCCCTATTTGTTGTCTCTCACCGTCTTTTGACTTTAAGCATTGCTTTGAATTTCCTCTATGCTTTCTTTTGCCTGATGGCTCATCCTCTTCATTGTCCCCTGCTTGTTCATTTAGACCTGTGAACATATGAAAGGCTTTATACTGGGTCTTAGTAAGATCTGAACACTGTGGGATTGTTTTTTTGTTGTATTGTTTGATAACATCTCTATAGTAATTTTTCATAATCTAAGATAAAGCATATATGAGCTCACGCTGTCAGTGGGTATATTAAAGAAAAATATAGTTTTCTTTCCAGATCATGTTCTATTAAATGCATCAATTCTGACCTGAGTCTTGTTTTAATCTGTATGTCCCCCTGCTGTTATGTGAATATTTATTTATATTAGTTCCACACAACCACATTTCACAGTCCTAAACAAAATGGTCTTTCTCGGTGATAAAACTCAGTATTCCAGTGGAATACACTGGAATACAGTCGATGTGATTAGGACATTGAATCAATTTGTAACCTTCTAAATGGAAACTGATTTGATTAAGAATAAGGTTGTGCTGCTTAGTCTAATTCATACATTTGAATATTAAATGTTTACAGACGATTGCAAAGCTTTGGCTTACATATACCAATATCCAATTTAACAACATACACAAAAAAAACTATTTTGGCTAAAATAAAAAATAATTTGATTATAAAGACTATTTATACTCTCTATAATATGCAATGCAACACATTTTCTAAATGATCTCATCTATGAAGTTATCTTGTTTCTTTCTTACCAGCCACAGATTCTTGGAACACCTCTGTTTTGTTCTCATTTGTCACCATTGTTTCCAACATTTCATTTCCACTCGATCCATAATTTTTATGTTGACTCATGTTTGAAATGTGGTTCTGGTCTACATCTACATGTTTATCACCAGATTCTGGACAGACAAAAAATGATTTACCTTTTTTTTATGCAGTTGAGTCTAATTTTTAAACATGAACAAACATGGTATATTATTAAGTAAGCAGTCAGAATATTTCTTTCTTACCAGAGTCATGATCATTCCATTGGACCTTCTTTTTTTCTTTTTCACTCCTGACTGACTCTTTGACCTTTTTATTCCCACTGGATTCATCCACTTCAAGTTGGCACATGATTAAGTTTTGACGGTTCACATTGACAGATTCATCTCCACACTCTGGGCAGACACAGAACATTAGCAAAATGGTAACTTTTCTATTGCATAATTTTAGATGTTAAATTCACAGAAACTTTTTAGAAGGTGGCTTCTCAAAGTCA